TATATACCAAATTTCAGAAATATTGAAGGTATGGAAGTATTTATTTAATTTTTAAAAACACAGATTCAATGACATTACACAGCCTTAATTTAGAATCAAAATAGGAAAGTTATATCCCCCCCCCTTAAAATTGGAACGGTAAAATCTAGCACAAAATAATTTGGCACACTTTCCTAACTCATGAAGGGGAAGATTTGTGCCAAATTCCAAGTAATTTAGTGTCGGTGGGTGCAGATTTCAACTTTTTGCTGGTGTTTTGACATGGAATGACCCATCAGTTACTCACTGTTGTAAGACTGACAACAATTTCAATATAAAAATACTACTCTAATTAAAAGAGAAAACAATTCACCAAGACAAAAGTGTTTAGAAACTGTTTTAATCATTAGATCTTCCATGATAAATTTGTGTCCAGGTTCGTACAATGTTTGACCATTCTTGGCAAATCTTCAGTGTGAGATATTTCATAACAAAAGTGATGGAAAGAGAAAATTTAAATGAAATCGGCTAGATTATATACCTAAAACAAATAAATAAATAAAAAAATTAAATTTAAAATTCCCTGGGTCTCTCATTCGTGCACATGTGTAGTTGCATCAACCTAAACATAAAGTTCATCTGATGAAGTTCTAAAGGATGAAATGCGTCACATAAAACTTTTTCCGCTTTGTCATAAATCTTTCCCTCAAAATTGTTCTGGATGTATAAAAATTTATATATCATTATTCCACATATTTATATATTTATTACTTAAACATTATTTTTATTAGATACTTTTATTTGAGAAGACACTCCAATTTTTATTAAACAGTATATTTATTTATTTTTGTCTACTGGCCTGAATATTCCAGAAATATTAGAAAAATATGCATTCTGTGTCAGGATTTGAACCTGCATTCCTTGAGAGGAAGCCGTCATTAGACATGAAAGTTACAGTTTCCTCTAGAGGAACGCAGATTCGAATCCTGTTGGAAAGCGCATATTTTTCTCTAATAAGATTTCTTAAATATTCAGTTTGGTGGATGAAAATAAATAAATGGTGCATCTACTCAAATATTAGTATCCGTTAAAAATAATGTTTAAGTAAATAAAATAAAAATACCTTACTGTGTGTGTGTGTGCGCACACACACACACGTTATAGAGAGAAAGAGCATTCATTGTTTCTTTGCTTTTTATATTTTTATTACATTTCTTCATAGCCAGTATTTGTCTATTTTTTTTAACATATTTAAATTGTTATTGAATATGTTAATTTATTTTAAAGATCAACGTCTTATTGTGGCCACAACTCGAGTTGAAACAATGTTGGGTGACACAGCTGTAGCTATTCATCCAGAAGATGAACGTTATAAACATCTCCATGGCAAGTTTGTTAAACATCCTTTTGTGGACAGACGCCTACCTATTATCTGTGATGACTTTGTCGATATGGACTTTGGAACTGGTGAGTTTTGTGCAGTTGTTATTTATGTCTCTTCAGTGGACTCGGTCTTCTGTTCATTTATATTTTTATGTAATATGTAAAAGAAATTGCTAAATTTTAATTTAGTTTTGAAATTGGTATAATTTTGAGCCTATTGTAATGATTTGTTCCTTCTTATTTATATTCACTTCTGGAGTGAGAAGTGTGATTTTTCAACTACAGGGTTAAATTCATTGAAACGTACAATTAACAAAATTTAGAGAATATGCTAATCAAAATGTAATGTAATCAAAGAACAAAGAAACAGAATACATGGCCAAAGTCATTTTGGAATAGCAAGTCTTTATTTGAAAATGTTGGAATGTGCTTGCAGAAAATGGAAAATTCATTACTTGTAACTAATGTTTAAATAAAAATAGATATGCAAAATTATATTTATTTTCTCCATGAATATTTTAGTGCATCACTTGTTATATAGATCTCTATTTTTATTCAATGTTAAATATTTTCTAATTAATATTGTTAAAAGTTTATGAAAACAAAAAATAACATGAAACTTATTCAAGCTTTATTAAGAAAATTGTAAAATTTCTTGACAAAACATTTTTTATTCAGAATATATGTATAAACAAAAGTAAAATTTGTTTTTTTCAAACTTACAAATTCTAGAATAATTTCAATTAACTTTGTGCTATTTTTTCATCTTGCTTGTACTACTTTAAAAGATACACTGAAAAAATAAAACTGATATTCAATTTTTATATGACCATTTTTGTCTTTAGGTGCTGTGAAAATTACTCCAGCTCATGATCATAATGATCATGATGTTGGCAGGCGACATGATTTGTCATTTATTACTATCATTGATGACAAAGGGAACTTGACAGAAAATTGTGGAGAATTTTCTGTAAGTAAATGGAAATAATTTTGTTAGGTGTTTTTAAAACTTAAGTTAAATTCTAAATACTGATTGAATTTATTTCTTAATTTAAAAAAAAAAAAACTCTTTCAAAGAGATGTAAATGACTGATTAGCTGGAAGAAATTCAGAGTACATGAGCATATTAGTTCTATACTATCTATACAATGTGAGTCATGCTCTAGAAGATAAAAAAAACTTTACCTGTTTTAAAAACTCTAAGAAGTACCAGTCTATATATAAATAGTCTCATATTGAAAGGATGAATAATATGGAAAAATGTATTGGTGAAAGAGGGTGGTTGTGACAAATCTGAGGATCTTATATATTTTATGTTTTTTCTTTTCTTTTCTTGTTTTTAAAATTTTCACAAGTGTAAAGTAAAAAGATTATGATTTTAAAAATATTTCAATATTTCTTTATTATTTGGATTCAGAAAGAATATACTGCAGATTTTGGTTAATCTGTTGATCTTTATGTTGCTTTTTGTTGATCCATTCTACTGCCTTCTTTAGGTGTATTTATAAAGGAGTGCTGAAAAGTTCACAGCTTCACTGAGGAAGGAGTCAAATTCCATTTTGGAAGTGGGTTGAGCCAAGAACTTTTCAGTACCTCCTTATGTAATCCATAAGGAAAATGTCTTTTTTACAGTAAATGGTTGATAATTATTCAGTTAACTAATATTTAATCTAATATAAACAAAGATTTAAATCAGAATATTGTAAGAAGGTGATAATCTTGTTTGAAGATTTATTGGTGCAAGAAGTTTGCAAGCAGTTACTTCTAGCAGTGAAAGGGTTAAGCTAAAAGATTAAAAGAATGTTATTTAAATCATGGAGGTGGGGGGGTTAAAATAAATAATGGCTTGAAAATATTAATTAGAACCATAAAATGAAGATAGAGAGGTCATCAGAATGGTTTGAAACTGAGACAATGAGTTTATATTGCGAGGAGTGTACTTTGGGTAATTCCATGGGTCAAACATTTATCTGTATAGAATATGCCCATCAAATCCTGACTACTTCTCCTCCCTTAGTCCTGTAGACACCACTGAGGTGTATGGTACTACAGCTCTCAACAACACTAGGTGTTGCTTCTTTGGTTACCATAGCAAGTAAAGTTTCACAGGGTGAAGTTGCTAGCATGATGTCTAACTGATTTTGTTCCAGGGTACAAAACCTGGCTGGGAAACTGAGAATATATTGATATCCACCATTTAGCAGGGAATATATTAATTTCTCATCCTAATTCCCCTAGCATGCTAAAATTGATATGTTCAGCATTTATGAAATCGGAATGTGTTACTCCAACTTTGAGGAAAAATTAAAAACTGAGAATTTGATCACTACTAGCATTCAAGTTATTGATGCTTTTTAACACTGTATAAAGTACTTAATCATTGTATTTTGTCCAAACTGTCATGCTCAAATTACTTTTGTCTTGGTTGTTGTTTTTATGCATTTTCTTAAAAAAAAAAATCATTAAACAGAATTCATATTACAAAATAAATATATAAACTGGATATATATTTTTAGTTCTTTAAATTTCATATTCATGTTTGTCTGTAAAAATTTTAAATAAAATTTTTAAGTGTCCAGTTTTCCTTTTAATTGTCATTCATTTCATTTACATTCATGACTGGCAATAAGCCACAAGTTGGCATTTTGTTGATGGTTGCTGGGCTTCTATTTTTGATGAACAGGAATTAATCAGATTTCATATGAGCAAATTTGGTCCTAGAGTGGTTAATTTTTGCAAAAGTTGAAGATGGCATGATCAGTTATTTGTTCCATATCACTGTCATAACAGTTTCAGTCAGGTAAATATACATACCTGCCTTGAAACCAATGCTGTCAGTTAACTTTAAATTTAGAAATGCATCCAGAATAAGTAAATGTGATAACTTGAAGAACATAAGGGAAATTCCTTGGGTCATTCATTTCCATTGAATTTAATTATGTTCAGAAGAGTTTTTAGAGAGGTGGATGGAGCTTTTGCTGGATCTTGATATCAACTAATACCAGGGAGATTATTCTTGGTGTTTGGGCGAGCAGCTCATTATTTTTTATCTCATTTTTATATTTCTCAGTTAACGTAGTATAGTCCTCTGCTGTTTTTATTTTTTACTTACTTAGAACTGTTATCAGATTATTTTGTAACTGCAGTATTTGACTTGGCTTTCTTTTCTGGTGTTAGTGCTCTTTTTTTCTTTTTTGGTCTATTGGATCACTTCTGCCTTCACCAGCAGTTCCCTTTTCAAAACTTGGAATTGCATTTTGGTTATTCTTGCTTCTTTTAGCAAGGGAATAGGTATCAATGCCTTTTTTGATTTGGATATTGGAAAAGGAATTGCATTATTCTTTTGAATGAAGTCAGTAAATTGGAAGCATTGCTAGAAGGCTAGATTAACACAGGTTAATTTTGTTGTTTGTTTGGCAGGGAAAGGATTAGAGAGCATATAAAGGATTAGAGAGCATATAAAGATGAAGTTGTCACCTATGTTACATAGGTGGCTGAAATGAATGAGCTGATTTCTATTTGTTACCATTTTTTACAAAAAGAAACTCTCCTCTCTTATGATTTGTATACCTGAAGAAGGCTAAAGAATATATCAAATAAAATACTGTGATAACAAAAGAAACAAAAAAGAAGGTTCAGTAGCCTGAAGAACTCTGACTCTTATGATTCTTCTCAAAATTACAGAAAATAATTAATGCCATTGAACAGTGGCAAATAAAATGATAAAATGTAAATGTTTAATTTGTAGATATATCATGTTTTATTTTTATAGGGAATGAAACGATTTGATGCCAGGAAGACTGTGCTTCAAGCATTAAAAGACAAAGGTCTTTATGTGGATACAAAGGATAACCCAATGGTTGTACCAATGTGCAGGTAAACATCTACTTAAAAAAAAAAAAAAATTACAAAACCTCTGTAAATTAGCTTTGCATTAAAAGTTGACTTTCATTTAGATTTGTTAGAACTAAAAATTATTTTCATATTGTATATTTACAAGAAAATGTTAAGTTTTAACCTACAATCAAAATCAGTATTTTAAGAACAATCATCAGAATACTGATTTTTGGTAAGTGGATTGGGTTGTGTACTTTTCAGCATGTGCTTGCACTAATTCTTAGGGACTCTAAGTGGTTTGGAATAGTTGCATAATTCTCACAGCCTAGGTAAAAAGCCAATATTCTAAAAAGGCAGTCAAGTCCTCTCCACTTGAAAAACTGGTACAACGCAATCTTACCATTTCCATTTCTCTTATTTGGCTTCATAACAGACTTCAGTATCTTTCTTTACTACTTTTATTTGCCAATTAGCGTATGAAAACCATTTAAATGTCATATTACACTTAGCCTTATTTGTCAGATCAGACATGCTCCCAAGTATACAAGATGTGAGTTCAAATCTTGAGTTCTACCTTTTATTTTCAATCTAGGCTGCTTTCTAAATGTTTGGAGAACTAAAAAAAAAAAGAAAGGTTGGGGTGGGTGACAACAAAATTAAGATGAAAGCAGAAATTAGTAAAAAAATTAATGAGAATGATTTATCTGAAAAAAAAAACATATCAGACTCTATTCTTTAAAAATGTAAAAAATAAATTTTTTTTCATTTATATAAATGATTAGATTTTCATGAAAATTCTTTTTTTTTTTTTTTTTCAGTCGTTCAAAAGATGTCATAGAACCACTCCTCAAGCCCCAATGGTATGTAGACATGAAGGATATGTCAGCGAAAGCTATTGAGGTTAGTATTTTTCTCTATAACTTGAAAACTAGCTAGACTAAATTTTTGTGAAACAAATTCAAGTTAAAAGTATTCAAGATTTCATGCTCTAAGTTACTTCTCTTTTTAAAATAATGATTCTGTTTTTCTGTTGAAACAAGTATTTCTTTTATATACCTTTCCATTCAATTATACTTTATCTTAGTTGTTGTACTTACATTTTCACCCTTTTTCAGAAGTCTTGTTGGACTTGGGAACTTTGCAATTTTAAACTAACCCTTTATTCAATCCATTAGGGTAGATTATTTTTATTCCACTTTCCATGCAAGAACAAAACAATTGAGGACACTAATCAAATATCTTCCACAACCTGTCTACCATATGTAAGGGTGGTACATCTGAAAATATAAGCATAATATAACATAAGAACAATATTTAAAAGCACTTTAACATTTGGATATATCTCCTGAACTAAGCTTCTCTCAGAAGAAAATATAACTAAGAATTTCAACTCTTGTTGTTGTGGTAAGGAATACAAGGGAGAAAAAAACAGCTGGTTTCTATAAATAAGGTTAGAAAACATCAAAGCTATAGTTCAGAGAAAGACATTGAAATCAGGCATAATTGTGGGGGGAAAAGGTGGTAATCCACGTTTGTTAAATAGTTATTTTGATTATAAACGTTGATTACCAGAACAACACTTAGAGCAGGGGTTCCAAACATTTGTTGCATCATTGACCACTTTCACATGGAAAAATTTTCCACCACCCACCTGTATAGTTAATTTTCAAAAGCATATCAAAATTGTTGTTAAGTTTGTTACTGGTTAGTAAACTGACTTTATGATGTGCAATAGTAAAAATACCAAACTGAGGTAACAAATAATATTGACTTGTATGGTTGCTGCTGCTACTATTACCATATTAAAGAACAAATGAAAGCAAATTTGACCACTGAAAACTAATATTAAAAAGAATTTACACTATTAGCAACAAATAAACATTCAGCAAAGTTTTTTTTTTTTTTTTTTTTGTTATACCTAATACTTTTTCAGTGCTAATTTTTTCACACCTGCAAAAATATAACCATAGTTGAAATCACTCACTTGATGCACAACTTTTGTCTTCTGTTTTAGCATTGTGTGTGCGTGTAGAAATTCAGGAATCAGAAAACAAGTTAATACAGGAGGGGACCTCGTTTTCAAGCCATAGTTTCCGAAGTGAACTATTGCCTACTGTTCCTCACACAAATGAATTCATGTAAATAACTTCCCTAAAAGTAAACTATATAATTTATAGTTAAATTTATTAAAATACAGTTTTAAATTTTTACAGCTTTTAAAGCATTCAAAATCTACTCTAGGGAAATGTTTTATGCATGAAAGACATAAATAGAAAAAATAAATCTGTGCATTACCATGAGTTGGTGTGAGTTGATTCTGAAAGCTTTAAATGGGTACAGAAAAATCAAATACAGTTGTGGAAAGAGTTTTACTGTTTATTCAGGCCGGTAAAAGAAAAAAAAAGAAAGCTACTAAAAAAATTAAAGAAAATAGTCATAAAATTTCATTTCATTGGAAATTTTAAATAGGTGTGAAAAAAGTAAATAATTCCAACTGCCACTTGAGCTTCACAGCACTTCAGTCAGAATAAGAAAATTCATAAAAGAAAACAAAAGGCAATAGATAAATTATAATTTCATTGCTTTGAATAAATTGTTTAAATTATTTTGCCTCATTTATTTCTTTTTATTTCGTGTTCACTCAGAATTCCAATCAGTACTACCTTGGCTAAGTTGTGCCAAAGGTTTTCTAAGTCTTACAAAAAATAAAAATGAACAATTTTTGCATTACAAGATTCTATTGAAAGTAATGTAAAAAGTAGTAACATCAAATATTTTGGCAGATGCATACTATTTTTATATATCATCAATGCAATCCCAGTGCCTGGTTTGATGCAGCTAGTGCAGAAACATTAGATTTAAAATTCGTTATCTTCAACTGCAAGTCACTTTGCTTGGTTATATCTAGCCTATTTCTACTTTAAGATAAGAAGGTATTAATGTGGCTGAAGCCAGCTTCTACCAAGTAGGATGTTAGGAAGGCAAGCAAAATCAATTTTAAGTGCTTCCATAGATTGGCATCTCAATCTAGATTGCACTATAATCTGATGATACCACAAGCCAGGTTTACTATGAAGTCAATACTGCATTGTAGCATCATTGTCATTTTGTAAATCTATCAATTCTTTTTGCACATTGTCTTTGCATTTGATTACTTGGACTTCAAATGGGTTGTTATACCAAACTGAAATGGGCAATGCAATAATATCCTGAAGTCATTGTACCATGTCATCATGCAGTGATTGCAAATAATTGCAATATGTAATGACATCTACATTAACCAATTCATCTTACAAGCTATTTAATCGTTGAATTTGGATTTGATGTCTTGAAATGTTTTTATACAGTGTTAATTTTTAAATGAAGGCAGTAATGGACAATTTACAGTTGACAATCATTTTTTGCTTTCCTTGCAATATCATAGTGAGATCATTTAGTTTGGCAACCATATCGTTAAAGAAAAAGATATCATATTTTGAAGCAATAGTGCATAGTGGAGGGTTTTAAAAAAAAGAAATTATTGTGTCATATAGTTTGGACAACACTGTTGCCTTTTGACAACTATTGTACTTCAGTATAGTAGAAAAGGTCATCATGATTACAGTTGATGGAAAATTCGTTCAGACACAGAATTGGATTTTAGCTTGTTTACAGTTTTAACTGCAGTAATTCCACTCGAGTTTGTTAGATTTATTTACACACAAATACCCTTGAGAAAGATATGAATCCGTCTCTTCTCCTCTATGGCTATGTTTTAAATAGCAGGAGATCTACCTTCTTCAAGACGCTGGGTTAACACCAGTCTACTGGAGAAAGAAATATCAACCTACTGCAGGAAAAAAATCTGCCTTGTCAGTCATGTATTGAAAGATACATGGTTGCCTGCTGTTGATATTTTTTACTACTAAATGCTGCCGGTGAACCACACACTAAACTGCTAAAACAGGATGTGAAAGTTCATAGTTTAAGAGAGAAGAGAAACCTCTGTATTTACCTACCATAGCAGGCATTCTATCAGACAACAATATTGTTCAATTCAAATGTTGATTCATTAACTAGTATAGAAAATTCCAAACTTTGGAGAATAAGGATGAGTTGATGTTTGACGTCAGTGGCCATTTCATTTATATGTTGAGAAATTTGAGTTATCACTGAGTGGAATTGTTTTGATAATTGTGTCAGGATTTTTATTTGTTTACAGTCAAGAGAACTTTCTGAATTTCTGAAATCACCATTTTCCTTTTTTTATTCTTTTTTTTTTTTTAATGAGGTTTTAAGCTGTAAGAAATATGACAATGACTTTTCCTTCTGGCCAGCATGCTTAGAATATAAATGATACTTTAAGCATGAGGGCTTCATGGCTTTGTTGCTTAAACTTTGGTTGAACATAATACACATAAGTAATTAACTGCTTGGAGGAGAATCTATAAACCCTTAAGATAAACAGTCAATGCTGTATTGATGACAAACTTTCATAACTGGAAGCATTGGGGTGTTTAAAAATTGTACAACATATACAGAAATAGTAGGAACAATAAATAACTAAATTTTCATCCACAAAGTTACATTGTTACTCAAAGTCTGTTTACAATAATTCACAAATACAAGAACATGATCATTGCAATCAGCAATGCAATCAATGTAGCTGTCTGTTTATATGAGCATGCATATTGAGCTATGAACAGGTTCCATATTGCATTTGTCTGGGATGCCTCATTGTGTACAGTTGTTTGTTAAAGTTCTTAGAGGTCAACACCTGTGTCAATTTTATATGTGTAGAGGGTGCAAAGGAGTCCCTCAAACAAATAATAAAAAGAAAATACACTACAAATAAAGTAAAATAAACTTTTGTTTATTTTTGTAAAGAATTATTTTTTTTTCTTGTATAAAATGAAATTGTCCATAAAGCTGCGGAAGAAAAAGAAAGAAAGGAACTGGGAATGTGAGGGGAAAGGTAGGACTATGTGTAGCGAGCGAGATGAGAGAAAGAGGGTGAAAGAATGTTCACTGATACGTGATACTGCCTGTTGTGTGAACCACTGAATCCTCTCGGTGTGTGTGTGCTCGAAACTGTCCGTGTCGCTTTGATGTCAACTTGTCGCTGTTCTCTCTCCCTTCTGATGAGAGTTCTACCTTCCTTATATAAGAATGATGAGGCTCGGGAGATTAGAAATGGGTTTCTTATGTCGAGCCCTGATTGAATCAATAAATCCTATTTTGACCACGTGGTGTCTTTTTCACTAATCCGAACTTTTGGGTTAGCCCGTCCTTGTTTTGACCCCACAGGGCATGGTAAGGAGTGAATTCAGCAGAATTGTATTTTTTGATACACGTGGTGTGAATTAATTTTTATTGTGTGTATGTGTGTGTAGAAAATAAAATAAGAAACAGCACATATGTGATCTCCCTCCAGCCCACCAAAATGTTATTTCATCTGATGAATTATTTGAATGTTAATAACCCTTTTCAAAACTATAGAAAATACCAAAATACTCCTTGTTTGTGTGGATATTTATATCTTATCTAGGAATGTAACCCAGTTATTCTCATTTAACCTCCTGTCTTTTTATTATACTGTTTTTTGGGTTTTTTTTGCATATTTCCTTTGAATATTATTTTTCAGGTAGCATATATAAAAATACCTTTTTAATACTCAAAATTTTATATCACCCACCAAAATTTCCAATTAACCACCATTATCTGTTCATTTGAAATCACCCACAGTGGGAAAGCCTGACTTAGAGGATAAGACAACTGAAATGATCATTACCATGATGTTCTAAACTATAGACCTCCTTATGATGCAACTAAAGGCTGCAACAGGAGGCTTGTTACAAAATGTTTGTTTTTCAGAAATGTTGGGAGAAAAGTTAACTTTGAATTAATTATCCACCTTAAAACTGTTTTAATGAAACAAAAACCATATTGGAACTGAATTCTGGAACAAAAATATGAAATGAAATGAAATAAACATGAAAGTAAAATTTATTTTATTGTTTAGAAATTAATTAACTCTTGTTATACTGATTTATTTTGTCATAAATATACTTTTTATGATTAGAGAAGTACCTAGAAAAACATTGACTCTTAAAAATGTGTTGTTTAGTAGCAGGAATATGGTTAACATTTTTGTACACCTTATTTACAATATCTGAAAATATTGGATTGAATTTTATTGAATTATGACATTAACTTTACATAACACTAATAATAAATGACTTTTTCATTAATTTTGTAGTATAAAAATATTACATTTGCTTCTTTATTTTGTTTTATGTAGATCTAATTTTTTTAATTTTACAGTAAAAAAATTTATATTATGGTATAAGCTTGTGTAAAAAAATAAATCATACTTTTTTTTTTACTTATTATAAATACAGATTACATCATTTTTTTTTTTTTTAAAGTTTATCATAAGGGTATTTGTTTTTATGAATAAAAATTTAATAGAGAAGAATATTAAATTAACTTTAAATGAATAATTCTAAATAGACTTTCAAGTGACAAGACCAATATTCCTAAATTACATATTTTTAGTGAATTTTGCACAAAGAATTTTGTTGTTGTAATAAAGTAATATAGCACATCTGAAGGATAAAAAATCTACTTCAATTAAATGAACTAAAATTATTCCACGTGTGAAAGAAAAAATTCCACAGATCCAAACCAAAACTAAAATGTTTCTCTCCCAGTGGAACAAAGCACTTTTGAAATAGGTGTCTAATTCTGGCCATTAGTTACACCATGAGTTGGTCTGTAGTATAGAATGTCATGATCAGTACACATGTTAGGCATTAAAAACTTCCTCAGTAGATATAGCATAGATATATATACCATCTGGGAGCTGCTGAGTTAAAAAAAAAAAAAAAGGAAGTAAAATGAGTAAGGATATTAGATTTGAGGCTTAATTTTAAAATTAATTTTGTTATTAAGTAGTGGCAGACACTTGAAGAAGGCAACCAAATTCCTGACTATAAGAATTAAGATGAGTATACATCTGAGCAGAAAGGCTTCTAATAATGATAATTCCAAATCTCGAACATTCTAGCATAAATATTTCTCTTTGAAAAAGTTACATATTGGAGTCTTTTTTCATCTTCACTTGGTTAATGTTGAATATTACCAGTAACAATAGTAATGTGATATCACTTAGTCTTGCTAACATTTTGCACAGTTAAAAACATGTGATAAGTTTTTACACATTCAATGATTTTACATTATTCGGACTATTGTCCTCATCTTTGTCGCCATATTTAGTACAACATTTGGCGTTATACGTACGGCCTTCTTCAAGTGGTTGGAATGTCGAACTGAACCCTTTATTTCACCAACACCTTTATCCACTGTGCCATGTGACTTTGAGGACACATGGCACAGTGGATAAAGCGTTAGTTAGATCAATGACAGGACCCAAAGTGTGTGAGTTCAATACCCAGTTAAGGCAGTGGAGAACTTTCAGAGGGAAATTAACAGGAGATAACTGATAACTGACATCCATCAAACATGGCATGTGGAACTAGAACAGTCTACCCCGGAGAGCGAAATAAAGGGTTCAGTTTGATATTCCAACCACCTGAAGAAGGCCGGAGTGTACAGCGGCTGAAACGTTGTGATAAATACGCCGACAAAGATGAGGACAAAAGTTGGAATAATGTAAATAATGTACATAATACCTCATCTCAGAAATATAGACAGACTTCAATGATTTTATATTGAAAATATTTTTCAAATAATCCATTTAAATTTTTTGTTGATAAATCATGTTAATTTTGTTTTTTCTTGTTGAATACTTTCATAAATTATCCACATTTCTTAAATGAAGGAGTGTTTGAATTAATTTTGAAAACTAGAATCAAAAATTGATAATAATTTTCAGAAATATGTAAATTTAGTTTCATAACCAATTTATTTAGAATATTGTCACAAAGATGAACAAAAATGATTTAGTTGAAAGCAAGACTTGTATTTTTTTTTTATTATAAAGTTGTTTTCTTTTTTCTAAATTATTAGCTACATGATTAGACCAAGTCTTTTCATCTCTTTAACAGGATGTCAGAGAAGGAAGATTGCTCATTATTCCTGAGATGCACAAAAAAACTTGGTACCGATGGTTAGAAGATGCTCGGTAATTTATACAGAATTTTGTGGATTAGTTTTCTGTTTGATTTTCTGTTATTATAGACTTTATTTGTCACACTGAACAAAAATTTAAATTAAAAATAATTGGGATATAAATCATAATTCAAACTTTTAACTTGTATACAAATATAAGTTAAAAATTTGATTTTTTTTTTTTTTTTTTCTTTCTAAAGACCTGAAATAAATTTTATATTCACTTGTGTTTGAACAATCGTAATCTATAATTTCTTTTAATTATATATTTTTTATTGAAGGAAAAAAAGCATTATTTGATTATTGAAAAAAGAGAACTAATTTAAAAGATAAAAGCTAATTTTCATCGTATTTGACTTAATTTTAATACTGATTCATTAAACCTGTCTTACTTTGAAGTATTTAATGCAAAAATCAACTTTATTTTCAGTAATGACTTTTCTGTACAGGCTTTGAATCAGTGTTTCACTATCTGATCCAGGGATTGAACTCCCAACCACAAAATGACAGTAACATGTTTTAACCAACTTCTATATTCACTATGCCACCATCCTGAAGGGCATGAGGGCCAGGTAGTGAAACACTGGTTCAGCAATAACTGGGATCACAGGGATATAAAATAATGCAATAATCAACAGGTATCCCATATCAGCCAAACAATGGATACATGAAGATGGTCAGATGTTAGCTGACCAAAATGATGTCTCTAATAACATAATCAAGATAAGAAGAGTTTGAAATAATTAAAGTATATTGACAATTACTCATCTTGAAAATGAAATACAAAATTACTGTTGTTGATATTGTTTTAATGATGAATTATTTGATTGTATTTCATTTTAATTAGGTATTTCCATGAGATCACTAAAAAATCAGCACACTATGATGAAAATGTGCTCCAAAAGTAATGAAAACAGTTTTATTGTCAAAATCATTTTTATTATTAAGAGGAAGGATCAAAATATTTTCTGATTATTTAATTAAATTTTTTGCTCCTATTTAGAATATTCAAAATTTTGATTAAAAAAAAAAAAAAAAACTTTTTCTTGTGTCAACAGTTGTAATAACTTTTAGCATAGCAAATTTTTTGCCTTTTTTTTTTTTTTTTTTTTTGCAGTGACACATACATTAATTAAACTTGCAAAAATCAAATTAATGTTGATTTTGATGAAATATTCAGGACTTATTCACAAATGAATGAAATTATTTTTGAAATTTTTTTTTATTAGAAAATCTTGGTAAAAATATTTTTTTTATTTTATATGCATTTCTCCCTTTTAATTTTATAAAAACTTGAGAAATTCATCGAGGTAATTATTACTGACTATATTAGTTAAGAGCAGAAGTTTTTGAAGAATTTAAATCACTATTTTTTTGGTGGGTGGGTTTCAAAAAATGCAATAAAACTAAGACATTATTTAATTAGAGAAGCTTTTAATTCTTTTCAATGAAAAATAAATTTTTACAAGATTTATTTTACAATTTAAAATTGAATAATTTATAAAATTTTTGAATCTTTTAAAGTTCAATTTTAATGAGATAATTGTTCAGGGAATATTGTTATTAAGTAAAACTGTATATACTAATTATATATTTTAAAGCTTATTTCCATCTGGAGCCCCCAACTATTTTTAAAAGAATTTTGATTTGTTTTTATATATGTATATAGATGAAGAATTTCTGAAGTATGGATGTACAAACTGATAAATCTATTCTTAAAAGGTCACATGTTTAGGGGTTGTCCCCCCCCCTTACAGAAAAAAAAACGAAACAAAACCCTAATGAAATTATCATCTGCTACACTGTACTTAACTATAAACATGTAGAGTGGTCAATGGTCGATAAATCGATTAACACTTTAGAAAAACAAGACACCCTGGTTAGGAAATGCTTATATACATTTTATGCTATAATTAAGTAATATTTGTTTCAAATCAGATTAACTTTACATTTGACAATTTTCCTCAGATAACTTTTCAGAAATATGTTTTATTTTTGCAAGATTTTTAAAACAGAAAATTAAGTTTTGTTTAGAAACATCTAAAAAAATGTTTGACATTATTGATTTTACTGAAAAAAAAAAATGAAAGTCTATTCCAATCAATGTAATTTTTTTTTTTTTTTTTGCTTGCTGGGTATAATAAATTGAATCCTTTAGCTTTCATTTAAAGCTAAATTGAAAGCTTCAGGAAAACTTATTCATTTTAAACCTTATGTATACCCAATTCATGGAGGTACCTAGTTTTAATGATAAGCTTTACTTTGTTTTTCTGAATTGTTCTTAGATTTTCCTTCTATTTTTCTCAGAGACTGGTGTATTTCACGTCAGTTGTGGTGGGGTCATCAAATTCCAGCCTATTTTATTAAAATTGATGATCCAAATATACCAGAGGGATTGGTAAGTTTATTTTGTTTAGTTCAAATGAAGTGTTTACTATATTCTTTCAATTTTTTTTTTATTTGAAAAATACTATCACATAAGCTGTCAGGTTTTTGCTGTAAAAAAAAAGATTGTTTAATGCCTATCTTGTAAATGTAAGAGGTTTGATTTATTAAGCAAAAATAAAATAATTTTTTTCATACATTAGCTTTATAGAACAACTTTACTGTTTTGTTTTTCTAACCTTCTACCATTTTCATGCAACTTAATTCTATCTTTTTTCATGTAGATATTTATATAGATCATTTTTAAAATAGATATTTCTGTAAAAACCTCATTTAAATAACAATCCGAAAATAAAATATCTTGTAAATACATTTGAATATGGAAAACTTCCCAGCTAAGCTGCAACAATTTTAGTCTGATTGCCAATGAAACTTGCAATCTTGTATTCTCTTGATTAAATATTATACCATTTATCTTAACAATGAAGACACCTCATAGTAAAAGATTCCCAACCATATACACAGCACTACTTTGTCTATACAAAGTGGTGCTGTATATAAAAGGACAAAAATCTATTATAAAATAATGGCCTTTGACATGGTTAGTCTTACTGGATATTATGGCGTCTATCCTGGCCACTTCATATTCAAGTTTGATCATTTCAGCTAATCGTAGAGTTGAAAAATTTTCGCCCAAGTCTTGTTCCACCATATGTTGTGTCAATTGATCATAAAAACTGGCTTGGTCCAAGTGGCTGATTGGAACATGGATGACTTGATTTGAAAAAAAAGAGTTAAAATCACATGAAAAAAAAAAAAAATTGGGCAAAAAAAATAAAGTATTTATATTTACTTCCTTGATACAAAGTTGATGGTACAGTTATTGATGGCTTAAGCAGGCCTATACTCTCTGCAAAATAACTATTGACCTTTCCTGATTATCATGACACACTGTTATTATTTTTTTTGAACCAAGATTTCTGGAACAAGGCTTTAAGCTGGAGGCTTTTGCTTCAGGGCAACAAATCACAAAGAATTTGATGGTTCGTTTGGTTTCATCTCCACAGTCTCTCTTCATGTGTCTCATTGCTGTTTTTCTCTGCTATTGTGTCTTGGCATTCTGTTTTATGGACCCATGTGCAGGGCTGGAGTGAAGCATGATGTGCTCTGGCTATGCCAGTGTTCCCCAAACAACCAATCAGGGCTCTCCCTGCACATGTCCAAATATGGGAGAGCCTCTTGGAATTCTACCTGATCCTCCTCCTCCTTTTGGTCACCTGATCAGACCTGTCTCCCTGAAAGGGAGTGCCTCTCTCCATCACTGCCCAAGGGGCATGGAAAACTCTGCCTTCCCTGAAATTTTTTGTTTGGGTCCCTCCTCCTTTGTCACCTGACCAAACTCATCCCCCAAGGACTAGGCATGGTCTAGGCCAAAATAAAATAAATTCTTCCAATCACCATCCCTTTGTTCATTTAATTTGTGAAAGAAAAAAAATTACTAGATTTTTCTTTTCTTCTAAAATGCTTAAAAAAAATTTATTTTTTTCCTTCTCTTTTTCTTTACTCCAACAGGCAGCAGCTAAAATCTGATTTCAATTTAACTTTCCCCAAAAAAGAAACATTTTGATCATTCCTCTTAATAATAGCAAAGACTCTTGACAATAAAATCTCTCTGTGACCTATCTCTCTCTTTATGTGCAGCAGAAAGTAAACCCATTCTCTAATGAAGTCTCTCTTCCTTCTCATTGTAAGGTATCTCTAAAAAGGGCTATTCATTACTTCTCTTTCCCTTCACTACTACTTGATTCTGTCCCTTCTTCATCTGCTCGTTGTGTTTTATTTCTTTCAACTGCTTTTGGAGTTTGGAGAGAGGTATTTTATCCTCCTCTTCAGAAAATCACTTTTGATTCTTCTTTGTCTTCAGGATGTTTTGAGCCAAAACCCAGGACTTCATCACTTAGATTCTCTGCTTTGCACTCATCCAGTAACAGTTTTTCTATTTTTCTTATTACATGGGCCACCTTCCCTCTTACTTCTTGTACTGGGATGTCCCCTGGGCATTTCCATGGCCTTGTCTGCCAGGGGTGTATCTGTTGACAAGGAATCTTGGGTAGGGGGGGGTCTTCCTTCTGGACCCCACGCCATTTCATCTTGTGGCTACAACAACCATATCTGCTGCATCTCGGCTTGTTGTAATCCAGGGTAATCCCCATTTTTTTGGACAGTCCACTGCAGACACTACCCCAGCTGCTCCATATTCAAGTTCAAACCTTGTAGAGTTGATTACAGTCCCAAGTCTTGCCCCAACCACATATTGTGTCAATTGATCTAAGACTGACTTGGTCTGAATAGTCTGGTAATATCAGTCTATCAGAAATTGGTGGTTTTCTGTCTGTTTTAATTATTTCATTTTCTTTAGTCTGGTCATTCTTCAGTCTATCTGAAATTAGTGTTTTTCAGTTTACTAGCACCTTTCCAATAGTGTAACACCATGATCTCTTGCATCCCGTGTTGTTATAAATTATCTACTGTTTATCACTCATCAGAATTTGCTTAAAAAATTTTACATTTTCATTACATGTAACAAATTGCACATGAATATATATAGTCCAATAAGTTATTTTACTCATCTGGAAGCCACACATAAAAAAGACTAAACAAACTGAGGTAAAGATTTTCATCTCATGATTTTAATATTTTAGTATGTTGACTATTTTCATGTCAATTAAATTTCATTATTCTCAAGTTAAGTTTTTGATTGGTATCACGCTTTTTTTAAAATCATTTTACCCTAAGAATGGCAAAACACAAGACATTACTGAGTGTGAAAGAATATGGGGAAAAAGAAACTTTTTTTTTTAAAAGAGAGAACAATAAATGAACAGGAACTAAGACAATATAAAAATTGACATTGCATTTAAATTTTTGAATATCAGAGTTGACTGTAAAGCAAGAGCCCAGAAGAGAGTTCTACAAGTGTTAAGCATGTGAGAAGTAACTGTTAGCACAGAACTTATGTTTACATTTAGCCATTTTAACTATAAAATGAGATTTAATTGTCAATCTGGTACAGTGCTTAAATTCATAGTCAATGTACCAAAGAGGGGTGGTCATCAAAATAATTACCATGAAAATATAGAAAAGGCACAAGAAGCTTCGTTATAGCAGTAAGAAAGTGACTAAAGTTGACATGCCTTGTTAAGACTGATAATATTGCAGATTCTTATTATTTTATCAAGAATCTCTAAATACATAGCAGAAGCTCCAAACCAGATGTGGAAGCAATATTCAATGCATAGGCAAATGTGTAAGTTAGATTCTATTGAGAAAAATTGTTTAGCATGACACACTGAACCAACTTTACTAGCAGCAGACCTAACACTTGATTCAATATATTCATCTTGCCATATCAACAGAAAATGTTAGTCTGAGAAGGTGCAATGAGTCACTATCTTGGAGGTTAGCATCAGCCAGGCTGATGGAAGGTAAAAAAAGCTTCTCTAAGACTAGTAAAAGAGAGCAGTTTCATTTTAGAGGTGTTAAAATTAGCAAGCAATTTCTTGCCTCAATTGACAACTGATCGAAGGTCATTTTTTAGATCAGCTGCCAAATTGACCTTATTAAACTGATCAGATTTACCATTAAGATCAGAGTAAATAGTTGTTATCATTACAGATACGCAGTTAAGAATTGATGACATCAGGAAGGTTGTTGATGAAAATTAGATACAACATAGGTTCAATAATAGAGCTATGGGGAACACCTGCATTAATGCAAAAAGATCTAGAAAAGTGGTTGTTCAAGACAACTTTTATTTCATGATTTGGTAAGAAAGATTGAATCAGATTAAAAATTGATCTTTAACTGGTTTACTTGATCATTGATTACCATTCAGTGAAAAATCTCCAACAGAAATTTACAAATCATTTCTGATGCAGTTGAACATTTGCAGTACCTTCTCTGTAAACTGTAAATGGCTCAGTTCTTTTTGTTTAATTTTCCTTCTTAAATTAAGAAAATATATGGTAAAAATGTTCTATTTTCTATCTTCAGTAGTGGAATCACTAAACAAAAATACACAAGGTTTAACAAAATTCAAGCTTCTACAACCACTGTCACAACATAATATAAAGTAATTTTGTTCTTAATTAATTAAAAATAAGTACTCTGCCATCTAACATCAAAGGTATAAACCTTTTAATATCCACTATTTAGGCAAATGCTATTTGGAACAAGTTTACAAAATAACTTGTTTTTAATAACTTTGTATTGCTATACTTATGAGCCACTTACAAATGACCATTGAATTATTTCCTGTAGTGACACTAGCAAATTAATATGCCTAATTTGCATAAGTGCAAGAGAAAGCTGATATAACTCATCACTGAGAATAACGTAGTACGAAGACAAGCTTAGCAACTGACTAGTGCTAAACTTCGACTTCACATCAATGGCGTCGCCGATAAGATCCCATTTATCTCTAGAAGATTCAGATTTCATGGATGCATGGATTCGCTGTTTTTCTGCCAGTGCGAGAATTAAAAGCTGAAAGACAACAAGGAGAAGGAGGCGAAAATGAAATTTGGTTTATTTTGGCTACAGCTGGATGCGGCGATAATGAAAGTCTCCACCATGGCATATCCACAAACTTGGAAGACCTGACTTTCGAAGAAATAAGTCAGATTATAAGGAGAAATATGAGACCCAAGAAAAGGCTGGTAGTGGCAGAAAGAACAAAGTTCATGTCGATGAAACAAGAAATTGACGAACCAATTATAAAATATCTACACCGTCTTTAAAATGCGAGTAGATATTGCGAATTTGAAAAACTCGGACAAGACGAACAGACTATTGAAGAGGACTTGATTCAATTATGGTTAATTGAAGGTATATGCAATGCATCACACCGATATAAAATAATGAAACGACTACAAATAGGAAATATGTCTTTAAATACATGCATTGACTTTATACAGCAACAAGAATTAATACAGAAATACAACCATCATAAAAGTCAACCCAGCGAACAAATATTCGCTGATATGTACATGTTAAAAAAGATAAGAAAATGTTCGTATTGTGGACATGAACACGAAATAAAAAGGGAAAAACCTGTACAAATTGCTTAAAAAAGAACCACTTTTAAGCAGTATGCAAATTCAAAAAGAAAAACGTTGAAAGAGTTGAAGAAAACGAAACCAATATGGAAGTCTTCACATAAAAAAAATAAGAATATAGAAAAAAATTGAACAAAACAAAAAAAGAGACATTATACTAAAGGTTAAAATCAACAACTGCAATTTAGATATGCGAATTGATACTGGGAGTGAAGTAACACTGATACCAAAACATTTTTGGGAACGCATTGGAAATTGTTGGGCTCTAGTAGTTGTCCACACGATAACCAATGCTTCTATCTCTATATTTGAATAATTTTAAAGATAAAACAGAAGAATTTGAAGATGCATTCTTACATTGGGTAGAGACTGATGTTTTGTCTTTAGATAGAATGGCTGCAGAAACTAGACATGATCCAGTACTAAGTAGGATAATATCGAGAATAAGAAAAAACTCGTGGGGAAATTGTTCTAGGGTGGAAAGACCCTACAAAGAAATAAGACAGAAATTAATGATAGAACATGGAGTGATTTGTAATGGGGATCTGGTAGTTCCCCCAGAAACACAAAGAAGATTGGTAATAAAAAATGTATATGATGATATACACTGTGGAGTAGTGGCCACAGAAAAAAGGATAAAATTAGAAGCGTGGTGGCTGGGATATTCAAGAGATGTCGAAGAATATATAAAAAGGTGCAAAAAATGTAAAGAATTAAGAAACTTTACACAGACTACTTTACATTCGTGGCCCAGAGAAGTGGAGCCATGGAGTCTGGTGCATATGGATCATGCGTATATTACTGGAGTGGGACTCTTATTAATTCTAGAAGACTTTTTCAGGCTGGCCTGAAATAATCCGGGTGCCAGACAAGAAAAGTTCTATGATAAAACAGATTCTAAGGCATACCAAAAACCCTGGTATCTGACAACGCACCAGAATTTTGTGATGAAGATCTTTTATGGTTAGAAAAAATAGGATGTAAACCGTATAAGACACCCCCATATCACCCTCAGTCGAACGGGTTAGCGGAAAAAATGGTGCAGATCGTAAAAACGGGACTAAAAGCATGCTCTCAACAAAAAGAATAAAGTTTTTCTACCGAGGCTGCTTTTAAGCTATCGCACAATACCACATGCTGGAAGACTAGAAAGCCCATCAGCTTTAATGAGAAGACAAATTAGAGCTCTGCTAATGATGTCTTATTCCACAAATGAAAAAATGTGGTACAAAAAGAACAAAGAAGCAAATCTGGAAAGGGCAGAATTTATCATGCAAAAAGGCCACAATACAGCTATAATAAATAGAGAAAACGGCAATAGTGTATTAGCCCATGCAGATCAAATAAGGACCCAGGGTGAATATGAAGAGCAAAATGAAGAAGAAATATCTACGATTCTGTCCGTTAATGATTTATTAGAACAACTGTTACAGAATGAAACATCAGAAGACGAAATAATGCAGGATCAAGTGGGCCAGAATGAGTTTGAAAGTTCTGACAAAGATCAAATAATGCAAGAAAATGCCTATGATTACAGCTTAGCGCGGGACAGATCTAGGTCTCCCAGAAAAAGAAATATGGGAGAGAGAGAAGTAGAGCAAAGTAGTGAAACTATCATGAGAAGTACAAGAACTACTAGAGGTATAAAACCTATATGTTTCAAGGAGATGTAGTGACACTGGCAAATTAATATGCCTAATTTGCATAAGTGCAAGAGAAAGCCAATGTAACTCATCACTGAGAATAACGTGGTACGAAGACGAGCGTAGCGACTGACTAGTGCTAAACTTTGACTTCACATCATTTCCCTTATTAAATACCAGTATGCAGTTGCTAATCAGTCTGAATGCTTCTTGTGAACTCATTTCAAACTTGTGCTTCTCATTTAAATCTAAGAGATTTGTAATTGTATTAAAGGTTATATTTCTTCTCTGAATTTTGAAAATAACTGCAAAATCTTGTTAATTTCTAGGATACAGATGACTATTACTGGGTCAGTGGTCGGACTGAGGAGGAGGCGAAACAGAAAGCTAGTGAGCGGTTTAATGTTTCTCTTGACAAGATTACCTTAAAACAAGGTAAATATAGAAAATCTTATCAAATGTTTATAGTTCCTTTGAATTTACATTTTTCATTTTAAGATAGATTACAGATCCAGCTTGATATATTGTGTTTTTTTTTTAAACATGAACAATATCATGTTTAGCAATTTCATATTGAACACTCTAATATTTTAATTGTTGACATTTGTTTCCAAATTTATTCTATATGCTTAATTTATAAATTGTACAATTTAAGGTTTGTCTTCTTGTGTTCTGTTAACAAATGAATACAGCATAGAATAATTCCTTATTTAGCCATTTATTAGGTAATATAAGATTTATTTACATAAGTAGTGGTTAATCTAAATAAGTACTGCACAAGTTGTTACATTATAATAACAGCAATGCAAGATTGGTTAATTGTTATGATGCTAGAAAAATGGGACCTCAAAAGTAGGTTTCATCATGATTGTCTATATTCTATACTATATTGATTTAATCTTGTCTTTGGCACTTCCCAACAGAAAATAGAGAAACATTGTAAGCATAATACTGTAATTTTTCTCCATTTTCAATTCAGTTACACAAGCCAAGCACAACTTTAACAGGTTAAAACAAATCTGTTGCTTTTTTGCAATTTTTTTTATAATATAGATTATATAGTTTACTGTATTTTCACTATCTTTTGTTTGTATATTTTATTAGGTTGATATATTAAATGAGAAGAAATTGCAAAATAAATAATTTTTACTTATGTTGTAGATGAAGATGTCTTGGATACTTGGTTTTCATCAAGCCTTTTCCCTTTCTCCATATTTGGTTGGCCTGATCAAGTGAGTCATTTTATTCTATTATTTTATATCGTAACAAAAGAATTGTTCAGCATTTAGGAATTTTGAAACCATTATCAAAATATATCATTAGGAATACTTACAAAATTTTGGTTAATCTTTAAGAGATGTTTTTATTGACTTAAATGTTGTCTTTTTACTAAGTATACTTTTGTGCATATTATTTTATGTTTGAAACCATGTTAATCTCCACAAAGAGGCCACCTGTCAGGTAAATGTTTATAGACACAAACATAAATGGCCAATATTTACCTGTCAACCTGTTAGCAAATGCTAACATACTACTAATACTACTACTACTAATAATAAAAAAAATAGACTCATTTCAACATTGAATAAACCAAAGAGGGTTGATGTAATATAATTTGCCAATCCAACCCAGGTTAATTTTATCTGTGTTTTTGGCTATTTTAGACTCCTGATTTGGAAGCTTACTATCCTGGTACCTTGTTAGAGACTGGGCATGACATCTTGTTCTTTTGGGTTGCTAGAATGGTGGTCATGGGAAGCACATTGATTGGAAAGTTGCCATTCAAAGAGGTAAGTTTGGATTAATCATAGAATTTTTTTTATTTTTGTAAGGATTAAGCTAATGTGTAAAACTGCCTGTGTCAAAAATTTCTTTCCAATTCAACTGCTGGTATCTGGTTTATTTTCTAGACTATTTTGACAAAATTAATATATAAACAAAATTTAATTGTTTCTCTTTCTAAAGATAGAATTCTTTCTCATGTGTAATGATTAGTTTTTATTCCAGTTTCAAAATTGACAATTTCTTAGTGTTTTTTTTTTCAAATTTGTTGTGCTCTGAATTGTGTCTCCCTACACACATCAAAATCATTCCATCTAAAAGAAAAAAGAATGCTCATCAATTTGATGGGATAACATTTGAAATTATCTTTCACAAAAATAATTTTTTTGTGAAAGATAATTTCAAACTTTAAAAATAAGTGAATGAAATACTCAAGATATTCAACTCTTAAAAAAATTAAAATTACACTTTATAGAGCCAGGTCTCATTTTTAATAATCAGTTGCTTTCATATTTCTATGCCCATACAACTTGAAGTGCACACAAATTAAAAAGAGGGTATATTGTGTTCACTTTGTGCAAAACCATTGGATTCGACATGGAAAATTGTATAGCTGAGTGAATGAACATCATTAATTGACCCCCATTTAAATCAAAATTGTTTCATTGATGAATATTAGTTTAAATCTGTTCTTATATTTAATGATGCATTTTAAAATTGTATAAATTACTTATTCATTGTATTTTGTTCAAACTGCCATGCTTGAATTATGACACTTCTCGCCATCAGTCTTGGGTCAATTCCTATGCTGGTTAATACTGCTGCTGGTCATTGAAGTGGCCTTCCCAGTCTGCACTCTGCTTCAACATGTGCCTTTTAATCCCAGAACTGACAAAGACTGAGTTGTCATCAGCAATCATAGTGCTGGTTTGAACCATAGCAAAACTGTCACAAAGGAAAAAAAACCCAAAAAAACAAGAAATTCTTTGGGTCAATTTTCGATGTGGTTTATGTAGTTATTTTTAATGAACCCTTCTCACTTTGAATTCTATCATGATGCATTGCTCATTTTAACTAAGTCTGGAACAAGACTTAAGCCAGGAGTTCTCTTTGCAGCAAATCACCTGGGCTTCAGCAACATGGTTATCTCTTGTCATCTGCTTCTCCAACTCTCAGTTCTCTGCTTGTATTGACTTTTACTGAAGAATGGCATAGAGGCTGACCGTGTTTGGGGACCTGGTGTTTCCCCTGTCTTCCAGCAAGAGTTCTTTTTTGTCTGGCTTTGGAAAATTAATTATCTCTCCAAATTTGAGAGATCCCTTTCTCTATGGGCAGTGGTTGCAGGTACTGATCTGCTCATATAATCAATTTTTATGCCTCGCACTATTATTTCCCAATGGGTGTAGGCAATTCCTTCATTGCTCTTGGTATCTCATCTAAGCCTTTCACTTCGATTGTCATTTTGACAAATCTGATTTTTAAACCATGTAGGCAAAATGGTATGGCCTTAACCCCCAGTCATTAATTGTAATTATTGCTTTTTCTTCAGCACATTTTTCTCAGTTTGTGGTCTTGTCTTTATAATCAGAAAATTACCAGCTGTTTCCTCTGACAGCTATTAGTAAATATTTGGTTTCCATCTCTCATTTGCTCAATCATACTTATGAACCCTGGGCTGGGTCTTTACATAAAGAAATTCTATTTCTCGATTTGTTTACAATTTCCACTTTGCATTCAATAGGTTGAATAAATCGGTTTCTCAATTCTGCCTTGTCTTTAAAAATTACCAAATATTATCTTCTCAGTCAACTTTTCTTTTCTGGCTGGTTTTCATAACTTCCACAATAAGGTAGCATCATTTTTCAATTGTCAGCCCAGCTTTTCCAGATGACCTCTTTGGTAATATCTTTTCCCAAAACAGCAAAGTCATTTTCTTCAAGCCATCTCTGCTTAAAAATTAGACTTTCAAAAATAAAGGCAATTTTGTTTCTTCTCTTAGTTTATCTGTCATTCCATTCTTTAACCCTTTTGCCTTGTTCCAAGTTATGTTTTAATTTTAACCCTTTCTTTTCATTTACCAGTGTTACAGAATCACTTTTGCCTCAGCTGTTGTTTTTATGCATTTTCTTTAAAAAAATCATTAAACAGAATTCACATTATAAAATAGAAAAATAAATATATAAATTGGATATATTCTTAGTTCTTTAAATTTCACACACGTTGGAAAAAATTGGAAAAAAATTAAAATAAAATTTTTTAAAAGTGTTCAGTTTTCCTTTTAATGATCATTCCTTTCATTTTTATTTGTAGCTGGCAATATTTTCTCTAATTTTTGGATTTGGGAATTAAATTGTAAATTTATTAAAAAGAAAATGAAACTGGATACATTTTATTATAAAATCAAAAATGAACTGGATAAGCTTAACTTTGGTGCATGGATCACTAAAAAGTTGAAATGTAATTATATAATTAAAAAAATGTACCCAGTTTCCTTTATTTTTTTAATGATTATTTGTTTACTAATTCTATGGATTAGGTCCTATTTTGGTGGTTAAAATGAAATTGTTATATTTTCTCAAAAAAAAAAAAAAAAATGAAAACATTCAACTTTTGCATGTAGACGTTGTTTTTACATAGTTATTTTTTTCCTTAATCCATTGTCATAATAGCATTATGGAAGATAATAAGCATAATATCTTCTAAGTGGATATGTTCCTTTTTTTTCTTTTTTTTTTTATGTATTAGTACTTTCCATTCCATCTAACTGGGTGATTAATAAAATTTACATCTGTTCAATGGATGATGAACTAAAATGCCTTGAGAAGGAGTTTTTTTTTAAGTGGGAGAAACAGGCTGTAGAAACCCCAAATTCCTTGCAATGTATGATGATGGTTAAAAACTGTGATGAAGGGAATAGACATTTTACTGATATAACTTTTAATGGCACTTCACTTCCACCCCTAAAGGGGCAAAAGAAGGAAGCAAGAAATCTGCACATTCAAATAACCAATATCAATAAAATGTATAAAAGTTTGTGTTGCATGTTTGTTCTTGACACAAATATACAGATATAAGACACTGTTTTACTTAAAGACCACCTATATTATCATTTATAATGATTTTTAACTAGTCTAAAACTTGAATCTTCAGTTAAAATTTGTTTCTGGTCCAATAGCACATAAATGGAAAACTGACAAATTTTGAGTGGTCATAACTTGGTTGCTAATTGAGTTACCAAGGTAAATTTGGTACCAGTTTTTAAAGATTTGTCAAGTTCTATATGCCTGTATTTAAGGTTCTTGGGTATATTGAAAATAAAAATTTAGTTAGGATACCTAGTAAAAGGCTAAAGATTTTTTTATTGAAGCCTATTTGTTTATGTATAGTTTATAAAACTTACCAGAAATTATACACTAGCAATCAAAATCTAAATCCTTAAGAATTTTTCAGTATCTATAATTTTTTTTTGATAATGCACTGAAATTTTGTTTTGGCTTTATATATGTATATGATTGATGAATTATTAGTTTAACTTTCATACCTGCAAAAACACTGTAATAATGGTGTCAAGAGAAAAACAATGTCCTTTTGACATTGATTTTGTTTTTTGTTGTTTTTTTTTGCAAACAATTTCTATTGTTTTAAAAAGCTATGTTGCAGAATTTTAATAAGGTCAAAACATATGGTCAAAATATGAGAACTTAGAAACAATTACTTTGATACTTATTTTATTGCATCATTTTACTTGAAATTTTAATTGAACTAATTTACTTTTAATTGAAGTAATTGTTCTAAGTAACACAGTTATTCTAAATAAATACTTTGTAATTGCATTTTAATGACAACAAAATGTTACACACTAATTAGTATCTAGATTATTTATTTAATAAATTAATTTTATATTTACAACTTTTTTCACTTTCATATGTTTGGGCTTTATTAAAATTCTAAATATAGCTTTTTAATACAATAAACATTGTTGAGAGAGTATACAGTGATAGTGGTGTCAATAGAAAAACAGTCCTTTTTGACACATCATTTTTTTTACAAGTACGAATGTTAAACTTTACCATTCTGTTATTGTTGTAAATGATGATTTCTTTTTTTTTTTTAAATTTGTGTTAAATTTTCAGTGGCTTGAAACTTAATTTACAATCATGATTTATGTTAAGAATAATTCTTATTTTATAATTAACACCAAATATTGATTATTTGTTAGTCATTATCAGATGGCATGGTCAAGTGGTAAATTTGCAATTGATTCTATGGTGAAAATAACTTAAAATTCCACATACATCTATTTGACATAGCATACATTAACAGGTGCAGATAGGGATAGCAGCAAATAAAAAATGTTTTAAATATTAAACTGTATTTAGTTTTGTATAAATAATAATTTTTCTTTTAGGTCTACCTTCATGCAATGGTACGAGATGCTCATGGCAGAAAAATGAGCAAGTCTCTTGGAAATGTTGTTGATCCTTTGGATGTAATTTATGGTATTTCTCTTGAGGTAATCTTCAAAATTCTTGATCATTATTTGTGCTACTTTTTGTTAGTTGATTTTGAAGTAAAGCAATTTTTCATATTCAAAAACATTTCAGAAAAGATAATCACATTTGAAAATAAATGATTCTTTTTTTAACAAATGATATTTTGAAGATATGCAAAAATAATAAGCATTTTGAAGTATGAATGTGTATAGAGTTTATAAACAAGTATTATTTTGCTGCTATGAAACATGACTCTTAATTGTTTTTTATGTGCTACCATTCATTTGAATAATTAATTTTGCTTTGTAAATCTCTATTTTCATTCAGCAACTCAAAGACTCAAAAAAATAGAAAAAAAGCAATATTTCATTGATCATTGTACTTCTTTTTAAACTTTTTACATTTCCTCTTACATTTAATTTTTAAAAAATGCAGGGATTGCATCAACGATTGCTAGAAAGTAACTTAGATGAAAAAGAAATTGTTAAAGCTAGAAATGGACAGGTGAGTATACATTTGTGCTTTTCTTTTACTTATTTTCATTTTCAGCTTTAAGTGTTATTTTGCATTGCTAAACATGATTTTAACTTTAAGGTAACCTTCCTATAAGTTTCTTGCACAAGCTTTTCATAAAAAAGATATTTTATGAAATCATCCACATCTGATATGACTTGTGGAATAATAAGAAATAATGGAATGGAGTAAATCCTGAAGTTTAAGAAATAAAATAACCAGCACATATTGAAGATTTGAATTTGAAGTTAAGCACCATAATCCAGTAGTATCTGTAAAAGAATTGTGCTGTAGTGGATGCTAAAGAGAATTGTGGGTAGAAAAGTGGCTATATGAGTCAAGGGGAAATGAGTTGAAAAAATGTTTGACGAAGTATCAAGCAACTTGATGGATGAATAGACAGACTGACAAACATTAAAAGAGGAAGAACGAAGGAAAGCAAGAAGCATGTGAGAGAGGAAAAACAAATTGTTTTGCCCCCTAAAACTGCAGTATCTTTCACTTTCTATTCCTCCAGTTTAACTAGGTTGATGAATGGGCCTGCTCTTCTGGCATGGGTCATACACTTCGTTATCTATATTAAGCTGTTTGTTTGGGAAAAGTTCCTGTTGATAAAATTCTGATGCTGGGGGTTCTTCAGGAAAGTAGTGTATTGTGGATCGATCATTAAAGATCACTAGCATTAATATACTTTTGGATTTAACTGTTATCACCCATTAATAATAGACCTGGCTGGTGATTGTAATGGGTGAGGATGGTGGCAAAAGTTACTTGGATTTTATTTGTCACCATGCCCAAAACAAAGTTGAAACTACAAACACTAGAAGTCTTCTTGACCTGCAGCGAATAACTGCCTATAACTCCGAGAGAGGTTAATTAGCTTTTCAGGCAAAGAATCCTTCCAGTTATATATTTTTGGAATTACTTTATTAGATACAATGATTTAGCTAGTTCAAATCCATTTAGCATCACATTCTCAAATGACTCAATATAGTTATTTTTATTGACCTAAACACTGTCCACTTCAACTGTCTGGTCACTTTCATATTTATGAATAAATTTGTGGGGAGGTCATTCAGAAACCCTACTACAAATTCCACATTTTTATTTATTTATTTGTATTATTTATTTACTGAGCAGGAATTCAGTTAAAAAAAATAAATAAAAAAGATTTTCTATTTTATTTTCTTAACTGAATTCCTGCTCAGTAAATAAAAGAAAATTCTACTGTTAATTTTTTCAACTTGCCCAAAAGTATCATACAACTACTACTTGTTTATAAAATTCTATTATTTATCTTGCCACAGCCTTAACTACACAACAATATATTATTATTTGACTATATTACTAATTAGTAAAAAGCTGATTTTGCTTTTAAATGCAGAAAGCAGATTATCCCCATGGTATTCCTGAATGTGGAACAGATGCTCTTCGGTTTGCTCTGGTTGCATATACCTCACAAGGTCAGTAACCCTTTCGGAATTATTTTAGAGACTATAAATTATTGGGTAATTCACTTGGTTTAATTCTGTGTCTATCCTCTGTTTTAGATATGTAGATTATAATCTTATATATATTTTATAGTAGAATTTATATATAAAGGTTTGCTGATTAAGAAGAGATGCCAAAATAAGTTCTGATGTTTTGTCATTTGGATACATTTTGAGAAGTGGGTTGAGATCAGAAACTTTTGCTAAAACAAACTGGTACACAAGTTAATTTATATACAAGTAGTTCATTGTTAGAAAAACAAATTTCTTGTTTATTTTTTTTATATTTAGTGTTTTCTTTCATTATATTGAAAATTAGGTTAATTTCTTTTTAAGAATTTTCATTTTTGAGGCTTTGCAAAATGTATTACTTCTGGCTTTAACATTCTTGTAGGTCGTGACATCAACTTGGATGTACTGAGAGTACAAGGATATCGTTTTTTCTGTAACAAACTGTGGAATGTCACAAAATTTGCATTGTCTGGATTGGGTGAAGATTTCACTTACAATCCTACACAAAAAGTAAGTATTAAATTATGATAAATTATTTTTCAGAACCAATGTCACATGAATGTAAAAAAGAATTGAATAATAAATCTGCGTGTAAAATTCTGAAAATATTCTTTTAAAGTCTCAGTGTTAATATTGTAGATAATATTGGCCTATAATATATTATTTATTGATCATACTTAAAATAACATTTTATATTCTACAAAGGAAAAATTTCCAATGTTGTATGAATTAATATAGCACCAGTTTCATTAATTTAGCAAAAATGATTGAAGAAAAGGAGAAAAATCTCTTGTAAATGTAACAAAAAGCAATAACCATATGATGATGATGATGATAAACATAGTTTATCTTTGCTGGGTAGTCATTAAATAAATTGGATGTCTTGAAAAATGCCATCTTTATATTATTATTTATTTATATTTTTGCTGATGCTGCTTCTCATTATAACACTTTTTGGAAATTTTTTTTATTAAAGTTGTTTTTTATCATGATTGTATATTGTAGTGATATCAGTGTCAGCCAATATCTTGTTAACTGGAAACATCTTTGCTGTCACAAAAAACAAATTATTGTCCTGATGATTATCAGTTAAAGTTGGGAATTGATGAAATTGGCAGGTGGGAAAAATTAAGACAGACTGGAATGGTTATTAATTGATTCATTCATTTTCTACAGCTTATCAACCATTTGCAGATTATTTAAAGCCAGAAAATATTTTAGATTTTTTTAATATAGTAATGGCTAAGTGATACAAGTATTACTAATTAACCCATAGCTGAGGGAGAAGAGGTGGATTCATACCTTTCCCAAGAGTATTTGCATGTAAGTGAATATAACTGGAATTGGAACTCTGTTTAACAATCCCAAGCCATTATCCATTACACCACCTGCACATCCAAACTTACAGCACCTGATATTCCCAAGTGCTCACCCATCTAGGTATTGACCAATCTCTGGAAGCAGGTATGGTATTGTGGGCCAAAAATCAGTGAGTGTGTTAAATAATAGTCTAGCAGACTATTATTCTTTAGTGGCAGCATATTTTGGCTCGGACCTTCTGAGGCTGACCTTTTAAGTCATTTTTGATTGGTTAAAACTAGCATGGAAATGTTAGAGAGATAGTGATTTCAGGGAGTTATGTTTTTACATGTCATACACAGTAGACATGGTTATTTCATGTCTTGGGGAGCTTGCTCCCCAGTAGGGGTGATAGAGCAACCCCCACCGGCTAGTTAAAAATGTACATGTCAATATGTTTAATAAAATAGATAAGTTTAAAATCCCTTTTGCTGATGTCTCTTTCATCTCTGGACTCCAAAAGCATTTCAACATCTGCCTGGGAGAAGACAAGCGAAAGAGAAGATACTATGTCATGGAACCAATCCCGTCACCCAAAAGACCTCCCCAGAACAAGTGTTCAAAGAGGAGTGATATTTATGGAGCATGAGAAAGAGGTAGCAGTACTCATTAGTGTTTTATGAAATGCAGCAAATGCTTCTGAGAGTGGATATTAAAAAAAAAAAAAAAAAAGAAATGGCTTCTTTTGCATGTGTCTTTCATTTTTTACCCAATTTGCCAATCATCTATACCTAAAGTTTTTGTAATAGTGAAATAAATTATATGGAAACCAAAACATCAACTCTTCTACTGGAATTGCTCATCTGACATAATGCATTGTCAACAACAAAACTAATCACAATTAAGTGTGACATCTTCCTTGGTCAAACCAGAGGAACAATGGTAGTCTGGCCATCAGAAAGTATAGTTCAAATAGGATTTTGTGTCATACAATGAAGAAAAATGAAGGATATTTTTAATTTTTTAAAATTTTCACTTTGTTAAGAAAAAAAATTACCTTATGTCCTTTCTTTTGTTATAGTTAAGTGGTAAAGAAAGTCTTATGGACAGGTGGATCCTAAGCCGTCTGTCTGAGGCTGTGGTTAAAGCTGCAAATGGATTTGAAAAATATGATTTTCAGTCAGCTACCACTTCAATTTACAATTTTTGGCTTTATGATTTATGTGACTGGTATGTGGTAAGTATTTATTGTTTCACAAATATTTATACTCACTTGTTTTCTTTTGTAATTTCATATTCAGTTGTAGCCTGAATGTCTGGTGTAATTAGAATTAATTTCTGGATTCCTATAAAGTTAATATTACCAAAACAATTTGAAGAAGTTTTAGTAAACTGTTTCTGTTGTGATGTCTTGTTGTCTCTGATGTAGAAGTTCTCATATCGAGTGATGACCGAATTATTTAGTAGTCGCTGGACTCTATACAAAATAGGGCAAGTCCATTTTCCCCCTGTCACTACACCTCCTGGAAATGAAGAGGTTTTATGCCCTTTGTTGATCTGTTACTTCTTCGAACAAAAGTAAGAAATCTTATCTGTCTTGAGGTGCATACCTGGTTCTTTTTATTGGAAATCTAGGTCTGGATTAATCTTCCTTCTGATCTTCTAACTTCATGTCAGATTCATTCAAACTATCCTCCATGGTCTCTTTACTACCATGTTCATTTTCTCCCACAGAAGCATTCAGGTTTTCTTCTCTTTCAGGTTCTGCCTCCTTTTCCATTTCGACTTCATAATCACTACTAGGCCTTATTTGGTCAGAATGAGCCAATAAATTTTGTCCACTTGTTGCTGTTATGCCCTGTATTATGTCCCTTTTGTGTTAAAATTAACTTTTTGAGGAGTTGACTGTCTTTTTTGAACCATGTTTTTTCATTTGTTGAATGAGGAAAATGCCTTCACCCCCTGCACCATTCTTTCTTTCCATTCAATTAAGGATGGCATAGTGGTGTTTTATAAGGGAGGCATCCAATTTGTTTTAACCATGAACACAGTTTCATCACTGAATTCTGGTGCATTGTCAGAGACTAATGTTATGGGCACCACATTTCTGGAAAATATTACTCATAATACTTGCTTTACTGTGGTTGCTTTCCTAACTCTAATCACTTCAGGCCATCCAGACAATGAGTCAACCAAAATTAAAAACAGTCTTATGCCTTTAACATGCACATGATACATATGAACGTGGGCCAACAGCTCTTTTTCTTTGGGCCGTGAAAGTATTTGGGTTTGGTGAAAGTTTTTTTTATTTCCCTACATTTTGGGCACTTTTGTACACATTTCTCTACACCATGAGAATATTCAGGTGATAACGTTCCCAATTTTGATAATTTCTGTGTTGCTTTTATTCCACGATAAACATCATTGTGTACGATTTTTGAGTTTTCTTAATATATCTGGTGGTATTAAAAGATTTCCATTGTATATAAGGCCCTTCTCTAGTTAACCTGTACCTTATCTCTTTATAGGTTCTCTCTGCCCTAGAAAAATCACTCCATTTGTTTCTTTTTATTCTACACTCAATTTTGCTTAATATTGAATCATGTAAGGTTTCAAATGTAAGACTAAGTGCAATACATTTGTTTCATTCCAGTACAATATTTTATCTTCTAAATTGTCTGATCTTTCTAGTGGTTCATTGTTGAACTTTAGTCTTCATAGAGCATCTACATGTGGAATAGTGTTTTCTTTCATTTATTTGATATTGAAGTCAAAGGCCATGAGCTTTATAGCCCATCTTAAAATTGTAGAAGATATAACTTTAGTTAACTCCTTCCTAGGGTTAAAAATAAACTTTAACAGTTTATTGTCAGATCTAAGCAGAAACCTCTAGCCTAATAAAAATTAGTGAGCTCTATCTGTGCTTCATATAATAGCTAATGCTTTTTTTCAATATTTGAATAGTTGGCCTTGGCTTTCTAGAAAGATACATTAAAGGATGACCTTGAGGCGAAATCGTTGATATGGCATGCTCTGTAGTTAGTCACTTCCTTTTTAGGGTAAAAATTTTTTACCATGGGTTATTTTTAAAAGTTCTTTCTTCAAATTTTTCAAATGCTGTATTCTGCCACTGAGTCCATTTTAAATTTGTTGTTCTTGTTTTTGTAACTCTGCAATTTAACACACATTTATTTTTGTTTATGGTCATCCCAGCATTTTTTAACTTCTTTAAAACATAATCCATTTTTTGTTTTAGCTCTTATCTAAGGGTAGCACCATTACATATATCATCTTGATAAAGGATCATATTCTTAACATCACCAGTTAGTAAATTTTCAGTGGTTCTTTGTAAAATAGCTCTTACTGTTTTTACACCATAAGGTATAGTCTTTCATCTGAATAAGCCTATTGGAGAGTTAATTGTAGTGACCACTTTAAATTTTTCATCAATTTATTTTTGGCAGTTTTAAAGTCTATTTTAGCAAAGTATTTAATTCCTGACAATTTGTGAATAAGTTTTAATGTTAAGAATAGGGAATGAATTGGAGCATATTTTGTGGTTTACTCCTATTTTGTAATCCCTACATATCCTTAAGTCTCCATCTGGTCTTTATAAAACAATGAGTGTGGTCCAATCACTACCAGCAGGGAGAACATACTTTAAAATTCTTTGATCCATCATTGATTTTAGTTTCGCAACTACTAAAGATAGCATATTAATGGGCAGTCTGTGTGACTCAAATTAAGATGGATGACTATTTTCTTTTAATTGAATGCTCACTTTGTATCCTTTTAATATCTGTGTCATTACTTTCCAAATTCTTACTGTAGTTAATTTTCTTGTACCCATTTTCAAGACATTCTCAAGAATCCATGATTTTTTTCACATTTCACTACTGTGCTGGCACTAATTTTAAAGTGTGTGTCTGTCTCAAAAGTTCCATCAAAACAACCTGTTTTGATGAAAGAGCCATCAAACCATCTTAATTTAAGCCAACTTTTCTTTAATTTGGGTTTGTCCATTCATTCACAGATATTTATTGGCATTAAGGTGATGCCATTTCCAGTAATTTGCATAGGAAAAGTTATGCCATTCAATTTAATTTTTTCTCTGGCACTTTTTATCTCTTTTTTATTGAAAATGTAGCTGTATTTTCCTGAGGAGAATTTACATTTTCTATCCTTTCTATTTTCCTTTTATGTTTCACTGGCTGAAAATGTTTTTTTTCTTTTCACAATTCCAATATACTTCTCTTAAAGCTGGACATTTTTTTTTTTTTATCCCATTCATGCATTTTATCACAGTATTTGCATTGCACAAGGTAATTCGATAAGCTAATGCTGTGACAATACTCTTGGATGTATTGAATTTTTCAATCAACTATAATTGTTGCAAAAACTCAGTAAATGCATCTAAGGACATTTTAGTCAGTTGTAACTGTTCCAAAATTTTGTGTTTGTAAGAAGCATCACAGATGCCTTCAGTTAGTCTCATTTGTATCAATTCAACTTTCATGGTCATTTCTCCAGTGTCAGATTTTTCAAACTCACAGAATCTGGAAGTTTCTTTAGCTTGTATTAGAGATTCATTTGGCTCTTGCTTGTTCGCAAGAAACTTTTTCCTCTCTGCAATGACCAGCTTCTTTTGGGGGCATAAATTTCTTTAATTTTCTGCAAATTGTGAAAAGGCCAAATCCACCAATTCTTTGCAATATGTCTTGACAGATCTTTCTGATGGCCTTAAATCCTGCCGGAGCCAAAAAATGATCAGTAATCTCATTTTTTTTTTTCTCTTGTGCTTTTGTGGTCTTTTAACTTCTTGGCCTGCACATGGGCAGCAAAACAATGAAGCCATGTTTTTACAAAGTTGTGATGTCTTTTAATCTGTACATAGAAGTTCTCCCCATACTAAGTGAAAACTGACTGCTTTAGTAGTCACTGAACTCTATGCAAAATAAGGCAAGTCCATTTTGCCCATGTCACTACTGTTTCATTGCACTTTGTATGTACAGGAATGATAATTTTGAAGGTCTCTCTTCTAGAAGAGTACTTTGAGTTTTAAAGACCATATTAAAAAATTTCTATTTTTTTATGTTATACATTATGTGTATACTGTATTTGAGGTCCTGTTAATAGCTATCGTGTTCCAACTAACAAAAGGAAGAGAAAAAATCTTATGCTTATAAGTGTTTTCTTTAGTACTTTGTAAAATCACTTGTTAATAAATATGCACTATAAACTGATTTATTGAAGATACATGATTTTGTTTCTTAGGAAAGTTTAAAACCTGTGTTGTATGGATCTGATGAAGAAATCAAATCTGTCGCCCAAAATATCTTGTACACTTGCCTGGATGCTGGCTTACGACTGCTACATCCTTTCATGCCATTTGTAACTGAGGAGTTGTACCAAAGGTTGTCATGCAAGAGCAGGGATGCTCCAAGCATATGTGTATCTCCTTACCCACTGATAGAGGAGGTAAGTTGAAGTTTACAGTTTTGTGTGTGTGTAAAAGAAACTTAACAGTAATAATATAGCAAACTAAATATTTGCTCATAGTTATTAATAGAAATGTTAAATATTCAGTTATATGTTTATCCCTCTGCCAGTGATCTGTTTTCTTTTTTTATTTATCTATAACCTTGACACATTTGGGAAAGATATTAGAATAATTCAAGACCTATACTGATAGTAAACTTTTGCATATGGATAGAAAATGAATTCAGTAAATATAAAAAAATAGAAGGATGTGTCTTCTCACTGGTCTTATTCAATCTATAAAGTTAGGCGATTCTGATAGAATTAGAAGTTCTACAAGGATTCTTTATTGGCAGCCAAAATTTTAACATGTTGATAGCACACACAGAAAGGAAACTACAAGAACTCCTAGAGAAGGTAGTGAAGGAAAGCAAGAAGAAAGGACTAAACCACAATATCAGGAAGATGGAATGCATTGATGTTAGCAATAGGAACTGCCTAACATGCAAATTACAAATTGGAGATGCCAAAATCAAACAAGTACAACAATTTAAATATCTGGGAATTGTTTTAACAAAGGATGGAAAGTGCAACATTGAAATCCGAAGTCACATTGGGATAATGAAAGATGCCTTTCAAATGATAATCAAAGTATTAAGAAACAGGAAAATTTGATTGATTAGAAACAAAGAAAAAAGTACTGAACTGTTATATAATATCAATTCTCCTATATGACAGTGAATTCTGGACAATCTCCTTACAGATGAAGAGACTTGAAGCAACAAAAATATGATTCTGCAGAAGGTTGTTGTGAATACCATAGACCAAACATGAGCATCAACAAACTTTTAGAGAAAATGGAAACAAAAAGTATACTTATACTTAACATCAGAAAGAGATATTTGAAATTTTAAGGCACATGAGGAAAGAAGACATGGAAAATTTTATACTCACAGGACATATTGAAGACAAGAAGGACACAGGAAAACACTGCATACCCTACCTGACAAGCTTGAGTAAATGAGATAACAAAAACACAAAATTTATTGAGAACTACAAAGGACAAGAAATTCTGGAGGGCCGTGAAGTGTTAACCTCCTGAAGAGCCAAAGCAAATAGGAGAAATATGTACATGAACATTTCATGTCATACGAGAGTTCAGCTATTTACTAATTTTCAAGCAGAATGCAACATTTAATGATTTCATTATGCAATGCACTAAATTTTACAAATAACCAAAACCTACATTTTTTTATTGGAAAAGTGAGAAAAAAGATCTTGAAAAAATTTGCTTAAGAGCCTTGATACTGGATTAAAATAATTATATAGAAGACAACTACAACTGTAAAATTATCATAACAGATTGGCTGATGAATCAATTTTGTACTTTGAAATCCACCTCTTAATAAGTGAAAAGTATCTGGGCATAAACCACTTTCTAAAATATGACTAAATATCATTTTTTTTTTTTCCATACAATTTTTGATTGTATAAATAAATTACTAGTATGTATTTTTTTAATGTTTTTTATATTTGTTGTATTAAGTTTAAATATATATTATTAAGCAGAACATCTGTTGAATTTCTGTTGCTGATGAATAAATTGTTTAATGTCAGTTGGAAACTGCTGAATTATGTGTTCTGTTCTGAGTACTTTCAACTATGATTGGCTGTTGTTTAAGAATGTAGAAAATCAAGAAATACCCAGTATAGTGTTTGTATTAATTTTAATGTTTGAAATGAATGTGTATTCATGTGTTATGACTATAAAGATTTATGGTGGGACTATTCTGTTAAACTTGCATGTTGCTCAAACACTGAAGGCATCTTCAAATAAGAGTATATGTTTTGTTTTTTTCTTCTTCTTTTTCTTCTGAAAAGAGGCTATATGTTGTTTTTAAATCTCAATAAATTGTCTACTAACCAGTTATTTACTAATGCCTGATGAGATGTGTTAATACAAATCAAAACAGGATTGCATTTGTGTAGCATTTGTACATGTTTTGATGTAATATCCTAAAATAAAGCATATTGCTCTATTTTTGTATTTTTAAATTGAATGTTAAGAATGTTTGAATTAGATTCTATTCGTTCTCATTTCACATGGATTAATATATATATATATATATATATATATATATATATAGCGGTGTATCAAAAATATATTTATAAATTTTGGGGATGGGTTCCTCACACCAAAACAAGTCCACATAAACATGTCTGCAAATCCTTCGCTTTTGAGTTATTAAGTTTAAACAAAGTTTAATTAATAGTACAATACAGGCTATACACCAGCATCAATTTATGATTAATGTGTGGGCTAGAATTGTAGGTGACTGTTTGGTAGTTCTATATATTCTTCCAGCACGTCTTACAGGAGCTGTGTGTAGGGACTTTATCTTGAACACACTTCCAGACTTGCTAGAGGAAGTTCTGTTACTAATACAAAGACACATGTGGGTCATGCATGATAGGACTCCATCACATTGTTCACGATGCACTCACTGAAATCTACTGTGAAAGATAGTTAGGGGAGAACTGATTCCATGGCCTGCACATTCTCCCAATCGTTTAGAATTTTAATTGTTGGGGCCACTTAAAACAATTGGTTTATGCAGCAGACATTAATAATGCAGAGGTGCTTCATCAACATAGGGTCTGATTTGATACAGTGTGGGGGTATTTGAAAGGATCCGGTAGTTAATGATCCAATGGATGGATGCATGTGTAGAAGCACGCAGAGGACATTTTGAACATTTGTTATGAGTTGGCCATATGTTTATATAGACATTAAACCTTGTTATGGTGTCAGGAACCTGCTCCCAAATTTTGTAAAAGTATTTTTAATACACACGTTTTTTTTGTTTTTGTTTTTTTTTTAAACAGTTTCAATACCAAAATCTTGATCTTGAGGCTGATGTGTCTTTCATGCAAAATGTTGTGAAGAGTATCCGATCTATTAGAGCTGACTACAATCTCACCAAAACTAAAGCTGATGGTAAGTAAGTGTTTAGCTGTCTGCTACCACTTTTTCACAAATGTCTATTTTTGTGCAGAAAGCGGATCACATCTTCATACATTTTTCTGAAAACCTAAACTTCTCATTGGATAATAAATATTAAAATTATCTCGTATATCTTCACGTGTATTGTTCTCAATAAGCAACACAAAACATATCAGTTTTGTAAGGCGCTTTCTGAGTGGTTAACAGATGTTAAAAAAACAATTTACCTGCTCACCACTACGTCCGAATAACATTAACCTAGTTTTTGACCTAACGAAAAAACAATGCTGATTGGAGCCTGTCACGTGGTTAAAAAAACATATAAATTAAAGGTACGAGCGAACCCAGTCAGTGAGAATTTACGATGACTAGAATTTGCTAAACGAGTTCACGATGCTTGAATCATTACTACAGCGAAGTACCAAGTTAGGACGTCAAGTTCTTTAACACAAAATAACTTCACTGAAATTCAAACTACAATTTAAACGAAATAACTCACTCACCAATTTCTACAACTTATAAAACTTATTCAATTACGTTATTGAATCTTACAAAAAATAAGTACGAACAATACATTCAACTACGAGCAACGAAAACAAACGGAACATTCACTTCTCCAACTTCTTTAAAGCTAAAAGTTAATCAACATATTTTCAGCTTTATAAGATTCTCTTTCAGTGAACATTTTGAACGACAAGTTAATTCAGTTTTTGTGAGCTCCGATAAAAAAAATGTTTTATTAGTAAAAACTTTAGCCCAGTCAAAGGGAAGTAACTCATATTATTGTTATTGTAAAACTGTTGTCATTTATAAATATTGTACCTGTTAAGAAAAGTTATTTTCTTGTATTCTTTCTCTTGTTTGCTTTTTATTTTCTTACACATTCGTAAAGTAAAAAAATGTGTGGGTTGATTTATGCCATCAATACCACTACAAGTGGATGATACAAAGGTATATATTAGGTATCCCAAACTAAAATTTTATTTTTAACATATTTGAAAGTATTTAATACAGAGATAGAGAGCTTGACAAAACAAATAATGGCATGAAAGTCATCTAGTATCTCAATTAGTAACAAAAATTCAAAATTTGTCAGGAGACAAATTTAACTATTTTACTGAAAAGGCAGACTACAAACAAGTGAAAAGTCATTAATGTCATATAAGTAAAAATAGATAATACTATTGGAATCAACAGTTATTAGATTTGACCAACCTAAACATTGGGGAAATTTGTGTTCTCAAAAAGGAAATAGTTAAAATATGACACAGAAGGGCAATTTTGATATTTCATATGTTTCATTCAAAAGTTCATGCCTTGTAAGTTCTTGCTATGATTCATAGCACAACAGAGATGAAGCTAAATTTTATTTTAGCTGTACATCAATAAAGAACTCATATTTATACTATGTAAAAAAGCCCAAAATATCATACCATATGCATACTATTCTGAACTTGCCATAAAAAAAATCTAATGGAATATGCCTGAAACTTTAGTACATTTTGGATGAGAAATTCAAGAAAATAGCTCTTTTCTCTGTAATATGAATACAATTTTTCATAGATGCATCTAATTTGTGAAAATTTTATGAAATTATGCAATTTCTGACTTGTCAGAAAGGGACAGTAATGACTACAAAACTTTTTCATGAAACAAATCATTGGTCAATCCTTCAAACAAAAGCTTTAAACTCATTTATTTTCGAACTAAAAACTGAAATTAATAAATTTACATTTATTGGAACTGGTTAAAAAGACTTTCTGGACAGTTAGAATTGTCCTCCAGCATTTCTTCTAATGAACATTTGCAGTTTGATTTTTTTTTTTTTTTTTGTTTAGTTTCCACTATATAGCCAATATTCTATCTCTTGAAAGTAGTATTATGTCAAAGTCTCATCTAAGAACAAATGTTGACACCATTTGATCAATATCACCCAACAAAGGCCATAAAAAATAATTATTTTTTGTTGGAAGTAAAATTTTGATTACAGCACTGAATGGAGATGTAATATCAATCACTTAGTGAATGTAAAAGTTGGAGTAATAGTATACTGCAAACCCTTGGCCTTGGTATTTGTAACTGAAGGTCATTTGAAGTGGTTCTTCTTCATCAAAAATGCTAGGGTTTAAATATTTATAGTTGCTGAGTACCTTTTCCTTCCTTCCTTTGCTTCTTTGGGTGGAGATGAGGTTCCATTAAAAATTATATCACTGTAATGTCTATTTCCTTCATCAAACATTGGGGTTTTCTCCAACATGCTTCTATCACTGAACAGAAGATTAAATGTGAATTTTATTAATCACTCAGATAGAGATCTCTGGTGTGGAAAGTAATAATACAAATAGAAATTAATATATACCTGCTTAAAAATAGTTGATTATCTTCCATAATCACTTAAGGAAAAAGAATTATGAAAAGACAATGCATGTTTATAAAAGTTGAATAACTATAAAATGGATCCATTTATTTTTATTTTTTTAATTAAATATAACAATTTCATTTTAACCTCTGAAATAGGATCTAATTACCACATAATTCAGGAATATAACATTGTTAGTGCATTCTTCCAAACTGATTTTTTTATCAAATTCTTCATGTATAGCTATTATGGAAATTTCTGTATTCAGATATATATGAATATAGAAATTTCCATAATAGCTAAATGGGTTGAAATGAGCATAACAAAATGAAATAAAAACCAACTTACTTACCAAAAACTAATAATAATGCAGAAGGATGGCATAGGAAATTTTGAAATTTTTCTGATTGCATTAAGAATGAGAAAGGCTAACTGAAGTCAATATTGAACAGTATGTGGCAGGGGAAGCATCTGAAAAAAGATAGAAAGCCTATGTTCTAATGGGAAAATTCAAAGATCCATAAATTTCACAAAGATAATTGTATCCCTGACAGAGATATCACATAATATCAGTTATTATAAACCCAAGTTTCAATTATTAAATTAAATGCATAATGTCAATTATTTATTTTTACCTATTTTAAAAATGTTTTAGATAAATTGATCAATAAAATTAGTACTCATTAAAAAATTAATTTTTATCCTTTTACTGGGAACTTTTCTGGTGGTGAACTTATCTGTAAACCACATTGGCAGGTGAAATTGTCAGTTTTGCTGTGCAAACCTTTCTGCCAACCCAGAAGGTCTCTTGAAGCATTTCAACCCAAGGCCAGATGGAGTGGTACTCCTGCTTTGTAAGGCTGATCTTGTCATTCAGATCATCTTGAGCAGCCTTCCTCACTAGAACTTAATACAGCTCCCTCTGAAACAATGCCTGGGTGTCAGAAAGGCATTCCATCACCCATAAAAAACAGTGCTGCATGAGCCAACATTCCTGATAGAAGAGACATTCAGTAACCCCTTGCATCTTAGTGGCTTTATTACCTTGCTTGGGGTGAAATAATTAAAAATATATATACCAGCATTTGAATCGTATTCCTTTTTCTTTTTTGTTTATTATGTCTTTCATGGTAGGTGTGGTTAGGGTGGTTTTATTTCCAATTTTAATTAAAATAGATGCTGTTTAAACATTCTAATAAAATTGTCAATTTCTATTTTAATTCCATATTTTCCATAACATCTAAATAATAATATAAATTATAATTTGAATTATGCATTTACTATTTTCATTATTTATATATATATATATATATATATATATATATATATATATATATATATATATATATACATAATAGATCTTTTTTTTTACCATAGTTCTTTTATTTTCCTATATTAAATCAATATATTTTACATTTATTTTAACATTTTCCTGTGTTCAAATCTCATTGATAGTTCAGAGATTTATTTTTAATTTTATTAATTGTTAAATTTTCAAAACATTTTCAAATTAAACACGTAATTTCTAAGTAGCAAGGTTGCCATGGTAACAATTTTTCCTTAATTTTTCAGTTCTGATGATATTCTTTAATGAAAGATTGCCAACAGAATAATAAAAAAAAATTAAACGTCTAACTGGTTTTCACATATTCCATTTTACATTCTTTGAATATTTCATATCAGCCATTTTATCATATATTTATGTATTTTTAATCACCAAAATTTCAGGTTTAGGCCAATATTTGTCAGTTAAGCCAATCATTTCCCCTTACAAAGCAGAAGATTGTTTTCATATTAGCATATTTAAGAAATTGGTAATTTTGATGGCAATATTTATTAAACATGTTTTGTATTTTGATTAATTATTTAATTATTACTTATTTTATTAAGTTATGTGTAAATATTTGCATTTACTTTTGTATGCAAAATGTATTACTGATAATTTCAACTTTTATGAGTCAAGTTGCAAAGAGATTTGTCTTAGAAATTTATTATCTTTTGTTACTTTTGCAAGTAAGATACTGGTTGTTGAATTCAATCCTTTCTGTAAAATTTACTATTAAGTATTATAAAATAATAAAACAGCCTTTGAATGGCCTAATTCTCTTTGTATTAGGATGATCTTCATTAACTCTTCAAACAAAGGATAAAATTAATATTTCTTCAGCTACCAAATAATTTTTATATTAATATTAAATGATAAACGTAGGTGATATATATAAAATTGTGTATTTGGACAGCAATCCCTCTTTTATACAAGTTTCATTTAAAATGGCTGACAAGGTACTGCAGTTAATTTTTTTTATTTATTTGTGTTATAATTTTTTTTTTTTTTTTTTTTTTTTTTTTTTTGGACATAAATTATGTAGAAATTGTCTGAATGTTCTGTATATCTGAAGGCCTTTGGTTATTCTTTTAGTTGCTATCAATGATTATTTTCTTTGTACTTTTAATGTATGGATTTTTTTTATGTATGTATCTAGAGTTAATTTGAAAATAAAACATTCCTAAAACTCTAGATACATAATTTATGTCCAGAAAAGAAGAAAATTATAAGAACACAAGAAAAATTAAATAAAAAAAAACTTAACCGCAGTATCTTATCAGTTCTTTTAATGAAATGTGTATATATATATATATATATATATATATATATATATATATATATATATATATATATATATATATATATATATATATATAGTTTAAAATAAACAAAATACTTAAATATGGGTACTCTAAAAATGTTTGAAGTGATAAAAATAAATATATTTTGCAAAGTCTTTTGCATACACAAATGAAACATTTTTTGATATATAATAGGGATTTGTTTCTATTTTTAAGTTTTCTTGAAATGTACTGATGAGGAAACAGCTAATACCCTGCATCCTTATGTGGACCTAATTGCCCATCTTTCATCTTCAAAAGCAATCAATATTCTTATAAACCAAGATCCTCCTATTGGTTGTGCAATGTTGACTCTATCAGCTAAATGTGAAACTCATTTGATGCTCAAGGTAAGATTGAAAATCTTTTTTTTTATGATTTATTTTAATCCATAAAAAAAAAAACAATGGAAAATTTTCAACTTTGAATGACGTAAATGTTTTTGTAATTATTGTGTTTCCTAATTAGCATATAATATTGGGCATCTAGAAAATTTGTTTAATAACATAAAAAGAAAATGGAAAAATACTTTTTGCTATTAACTTTATTAAAAAAAATTCCTGTTTTGCTCTATTATCTACAATTTTTCATGTAACCTCCCAAATATTTTTGATTTTCTCAACTAGCTACTACTCTTGGTGTCTTTTATAATTTTCTTAGGGAATTGATTTTTTTTCTTTAGGAGAATTATGTAAAGACCAGAATAAATTATAATCCAAAGATGTAATATCTGAATACTGCATATAAATCAAAACTTGCAGCCAAGTTGTAACAATTCTAGTGTTATCCTGAAGGACTCTCTCTCTCTTAATTAATTCCAGAAACCTTTCATTGATTACTTTTTTCAGAAAAACATTTTCTGTGTTTTACAAATTTTTCACATGTTTGATCATTCATAGGAACTTCTCCATAAGTTTCACAAATCTTTTTTTTTTTTTTTGCATTTTCACCTTTCTTTAATAACAAAGCATAATTTACTAAATATATGGCTCATTTGTTTCCATCTTCAATGTTAGAATCAAATAAAAATATACCAATTTTGACTAAATTTTTAAGTGCACATTATATTGTGACAGTTATAATCTCGACCAAAAGCCATTTTTATGAATGAAGAAAAAAATCAAATACCTTTACTAATGCCAACCAATGATAAAAACAAGCTGTCATCTGTCTATATTTCTGAGATGAGGTATTGTAACTATTTAAACTATTTACATAATTTGGACTATTGTCCTCATCTTTATTGCCATATTCACAACATTTTGGCCATTGTATGCTCTGGCCTTCTTCAGGTGATGGATGTTAGAAATTCAAACTGAGCCTTCTATTTAGTCCACTGTGGTAGACTGTTATAATTCATGTACCACGTCTTTTTGGATATCTCAGTTTCAGTTAATTCCTTTTAGTAATTCAAATCGCCAAGGACATATGGCCCAGTAGATAAGTGTTGGTTAATTCAAAGAGAGACTTGACTCACAGTTGTAAGTTGGCCACAGCAAAGAGAACAAAAACTTGGAGAGTTGAGTTAAAATATCTAAAATGAAGTTTTAGATAAATTTTCTTTGATTGAATCCATCAGTTCTTAAAACCATTTTATTGAAGTAAATCTTGTTTAAATGAATGCTTTTATTTTATATTCATGTTCTACTCAGTAAATATAAATCGCATCAAATATTATTCACCTTTTTGTTTTTCCCTCTTTCATTGAGTACAACATTTTTTGGTAAATCAATATATTTCAGCTGCTAAATTCACATTGTCATTGGTGTCGAATGTATTTCGAATTATTTTATTAGTTACATTTTGAATATAATTTGGTACCTGTCACTTTACTGACAAGATGATGATCAGATTTAAAATCTAATTTGTTTAACCATTTAAAATACTATATTTATTAGAAAATATATTTGTTTTAAATACAGGAGAAGTCCTAAAAATGACTTCGAAGGGCTACACACACACACACACACACACACACACACACACACACACACACATATATATATAATTACTGTTTATCCTATACAATGCCCAAGAGCCACTCAAGGTAGAGAGTTACTAAGGGAGTTTGTTGTGTGTGCAGAAGGAGTAAGAGTAAGTTTATAAGGATATGTATTGACTGGGGAAGTTGATTCCACAAAGTAGCAGTTCATGGGAAGTTGTTTAAGTGGAACTTACTTCTCAGTAATGGAATATGAAAGGAATGTGGATGATTCACTACAGTGTACATGGTATGGTGGATCTTAGCTGTGAAGGGTAGAACTGGTGAAACTAAGCAATGTAGTTCTTCTGAACATTTTCAGTGATATAGTAATGATAGGAAATATCACTAGAATAGTGAAAGGCTTGCAACATTTTATCTGTGGGGAAACAGGTTGTAAGGTGGAAAATAATTGCTCACTCACAAGGCTGCATAAATGCTTTTGGACTATTAAGACTGGCAAATGATGATTGGGCAACTCCAGCCCAGATATGGCAGCAGTAATCCATTTATGGTTTGATCTGGCTTTTGTAAAAGTAGAGGATAGTAGGAAAAGTCAGGTACTTACTAGAGTGTTACAGGGAGCTGACTATTTTCCCAGCATCTTTAGTGATGATTGTATGTGAGTTCCACTTGAGATCTGGGGTGAGCTTAAATCTTAATATATGTTCAAGTCAAGGGGCTTCCTTGAGAGAACACCTGTACATTGAGAAAGACAAAAATTCAAGGTCAGCTTGGTGATGATGGAATATTACTAGTTTGGTTTTTGATGTATTAAATGTGACCAGTCAGCCCAACTGAGTTCTTAGAAGTAGGTCAGAGGAGAGATTAGCTGCCAGGTTCTGGTCATCTAGTATTTTTCAGGTGCACTCGTACCATTGTACAATCTGCATAGATATCCACAACAGATCAGAGTATATTCTTAAGCAGATCGTTAATGTAAAGCAGAAAGAGAGTTGAAGCAAGACTTTCCCAGAAGTTGACAGTCAGGGAAATTAGCTCTTGCAATGCAGATGTCCATTACAGTTTCATTCAAATTGTGTGTGTATTTACTTTTGTATATGTACATGTATATTTTAATTCAATTTTATTCAAAGACAGATCTAAATTTGTACAAATTTAAAAAAAGATATCTTAATTTTATGACCAAATAATTTCCAAAAAGTTTTTAAAAAAAAATCTTTTCATCTGATTTTTTTTTTTAGTGTTGGAAAAAATTAAGTACATTTTTTTTGTCTCCAAATTGATTTTATTGCTCAATTCTGGGTAGATGTTTGTTCAAACTAAGTGGGAGTGGAATGTATTTGAAGTGATGACAGGAAAACATGAAATCTTTAGATAGCTTTAATGAATTAACAAGATGGCTACATTTTACCTCTGGAGAGTGACAACCAAGGGAGGTCATCAATAGAAAGTCAAAGGGAGTTTAGTAGAAAAAACATGTTACAGAGGAGACAGTATTATTTCAATATTTTATTTCAAGTTCAGTCAAATTGTGTTTGCAACAACAACACTACAAAACAATCGATAACAATTTTAAAAAATAATTAAAATAAAACATTTCCTGTGCAGCTCAAAACGTGCAATATAGTCCCACAAAAAAATTGCAGATTGTACTCCAACCACCTCTGAGCCCAAAGAGTGATAAATTCTGTGCAGTTCCTGGCCCTTTGAAATTCTTCTGTTCAAACCATTACTAGAGGATTTCAAACCTCAAGAAAAATGTCACATTACAGAGAGGGTCATTCTCCAGACTTTCCAAAGAGAAAAACAATACCAAAAAAATGAGGGGATTTTAACCATCCCTAGAAAAAGGAAGCATCACTCTCCGGACCTCCCAAAGAGAAAAACAATATTTAAAAAACAAAAAAAACAAACAATATAAAAAAACACAGGGATTTTAACCACTCCTTAAAGTAACTCAGATCACAGGAATTGTCATTTCTACCGATCTTCCAAAATAAACAAGAGGACTTTAACCACCTCTTCAATTCTTTCCCCATTTCATAACACCCCCATCCCCATATATAAAATGTCATTTTAGCATACCACAGAAGTGAAAACCAGTTTTACCCCCTCAAGGCAAAAAAAGAGAGATGGTGCGGAATGTCATCACATGTTCTTCATCATAAAATAAGATGCTCAAGTCCTATGTCTCACTGCACAATGATTAGCTTTTAACACAAGTTGCAATAATTTGCAATGGAAGACACACAAGACTATAAAAATAAAGTCTCATCAAAATATGTATACATGGTTAGACCACAACAATGTTCAATATTCACTGGGTTTGTATAAAATAATCAGATGCATGCAAGGGTGAAATTTTTTTTTTTTCTTTTGAGGGACTACAAGGTCTTTCCTTTTTTCCCCCCCTTTTCCTTGGACATATAGTGGGAAATTGTAACCTCTCTCTCCAATCTGTCTGACTCCTGGAAAGCTAAAAGTTCCATTAATCTCCTCTCCCTGCCTTCATATTCTCTCACCGGCTCATTTTGTACCCTATGCTTTTTCAGCCAACATCTCCCATAACCCACTAAACCCATCACTAGCACTATGGTAACTGACAACCAAACTATAATGTTTGCTGTTGGGTCCCCTTCATTGGTTTATATCTGTCTACCATTGCTAACTTATCCACTAATTCATATAAATCTATTGGCTTTAGTAATTGGAGTAATTTACATGTAATTATATCTGTTTTCCTTATAAGGGGCTCCCACAGCACTGCATACTTGCATATGTCAAAACATCTATTAAGGTTAGAAAGGGATCCTGGGTTTCAAATTTTTCCTCCACCTGATAGCATGGTGGGAGAACTAAGGTTTTCCCAAAGGTAGAGCAACCCATCTAAAGTTTGATAATAAGCAGGGATTGGGTAGCTCTTACAGTCACTATTGGTTTTCCTATGCATACCTTCAATAAATCCAGTTTCCAGTCTATGGCCCGTACATTCCTTATTTGCTTCAGCCCTTCTAGGTAACCCTTACTGATTATCCAATTCGATATAATGATTATCACTATGACCGATTTCAACAAATCTGTTGGGATTACAAGGACGAATATCAACAAGACCCTCATACCACGTGTCACCAGCACAATAAGCATAACCTGCTGAAAAATTCCAGATGCATTGACCAGTCTGAAGGGAATAATACTGAACTGGTACAATGCAACATGACTGACCTATTCAGTATTCTCTCTATTGGAAAAATTTGTGGGTAGGCTAGTGGTTTAAGTAGCCAGACCTCAAATCAAGGGTGGAAATTACGCCTGCCTTAGCATCCCCAATGCCAACATGTCATCAATCAAGGCTGCTGGGATATAGTCTTAGGCTATAGTGGTTTCTCTTATTCAGAGCCCTTCACA